CGACGTCGTCGGCGCGTCGCGGGGTCGTGTACGCTGCGCTGTCACGGGTTATTTTAAAGCTGTTCACACTGTCGTCGCCAAGACGCCTCTCCCTGATTGTTGCGCGACGTCGCCTCCCAGGAGGGCACCATCGACCCTGAAGTCCAACGCCGGCGCGATACGGTGCAGCCCGCGTGCCGCCGTGCCGCCCCTCAGCGTTACGACGCCGGCCGCGCCGCCATGGAGGACAGCCTGGGCGACGACGAGGAGGAGGAGGTCGAGAAGATCGACCCGGCGACGCTCGCCCCGGACCTGTACAGCTCGTGCAAGGCCGGCCAGGCCGACTCGGCGCGCGAGCTGCTCGACGTCTTCGTGCCGCCGTTCCACACGGAGGGCGAGACGGGCTGGACGTGCCTGCACTGGGCCGCGCGCCACGGGCTCGTGGAGACGGTGGAGCGCCTCATCCGCGTGAACGCCGCGGAGCCGTACCTCGCGGCCAGGGCCGCGCGCGACGCGCCGCCGGCGGAGCCGCCGCGGCTCCCGCCATCGGCCGACGGCGGCGAGGAGGGCGAGGCGAAGTCAGGGCGACGGGCCCGGCGAGGGCGAGGAGGTCGAGCCGCCCAAGCCCGGCACGGTGAACGTCGTGCCCGGCGACCGGCTCCTGCGGAACACGCCGCTCCACTGGGCGTCGTTCCACGGCCACCTCCGCGTCGCGCGGCTCCTCCTCCAGGCGGGCTACACGAACGACGACGTCGACGAGGTCGGCAACACGCCCCTGCACCTCGCGGCGGCGGGGGGCCACGCGGCCGTCGTCCGCGCGCTGCTCAACGACGGCTCCGACGGCGCGCGGCGCAACGACTTCAGCAACGCGCCCGCGGAGGTGACGACGTCCGAGGAGGTGCGCGCGCTGCTGGCGAAGCACGCGGCGTCCCTGGCGAAGACGGCGGCGGAGCGCCTGGCCATGCGCGGCGCGAACCTGTCGCGGTACCGCGACGTCGCCGCGGAGCTCGCGGCGGCCATCGAGTCCAAGGAGGCGGACGGCGCGGACGCGGAGGTGCTCCAGCAGCAGAGCGCGCGGCTCCGGGCCGCCGTCGCCGCGGCGGAGGCCGAGGCCGTCGCCGAGCCCCTCGTGGCCCGGGGCCGCCGCGCGCTCGCGCGGCTCGAGACGCACATCGTGCTCAAGGAGCAGGTCGGCGCGGTCAAGGCCGCGGCGCCCGTCATCAGCCAGGCGGCCTACACGCGCCTCGTGAACAAGCTCAAGCGCCTCGCGCGCGAGGCGCTCGCGCTCCGCGAGGAGGAGAAGGCCATCGCCGCGGCCGCGGGCGACCGCCTCGCGGCCGAGGACTGCGGCGCGTCGCCGTCGCTTTTAGCGGAGGCCGAGGGCCTGGCGCTGCGGTCCAACGCGGAGTACTGGCTCCACAGCTCCTGCGCGCCGCTCGACGCGCTGCCGTGCGCGGACGCGTCCTGCCAGCGGCCCATGGAGCGCCTCGAGAAGGCCATCGCCGAGGCCGACGCGCACCGCGCGGAGAAGAACCTCGTGAGCCACGCGCGCGCGCTGTTGAGCCGCTTCACGGCGGAGCTCGAGCTCCGCCGGTCCATGGACGCGGTGCCGCAGGTCAAGCTGCCCGTCCCGGACCCGGAGCCGGACTACTGGGCCGAGGAGGACCAGGGCACCATCGAGGAGACGCCCGAGTACCCGCTGCCGCCGGAGAGCGGCGTCTACATCTGGCACCCGTCCGCGAATCTGACGAAGCTCCGCGGCGCGTCGATGCGCCTCGAGAAGGCGCTCGCGCGCGCGACGCAGTGCACGGCCTACCCGGACCTCGTCAACGCGGGCAACGTCAAGCACAAGGCCGTCTCCGAGGAGCTCAAGCAGCTCGAGCGCAAGGACGAGGAGGACAAGGAGACGGCCATCGCCGCCGCGGAGAAGGCCGCGAAGAAGCTCAAGAAGAAGAAGAAGAAGAAGTGAGCGCCGTCTCGCGCGCGCCCGGGGGAGCCTCGTTACACGGCCCCGCTTCCGAGCTGCGCGCGTGGCCATGGGGGGGGGCTCCGGGACGCGCCCCGCACCCTCTGTCCGAGCCGGCCCGCCGGGGCGGCGGCATGCCTTTTGTCCGAACCTTTGGAGCACATGATGCCGCAGATCAGGCTGCCCGGCACGGCCTAGAGGAGGCTGCCCCGCGGTGCCATGTTCTCCTTCCCGTCGCGCCGCACCATGGCGCCGGGCACGAACACGAAGGCCGGCGGCGCCGTCGTCGCCGTCGGCGCGCTCGTGCTCTTCCCGCTCGAGGACGCGGTGCTCGCCATGAACTGCTTCTGGTTCGGCGCGGCCGTGCGGTTCTTCCTGCTGCGGCCCGGCTGGGCCATGGACCGCATGACGGCGCCGAGCGAGCACCGCCTCTACTCGACGCTCGTCGCGACGCTGCGGGGCCTCGGCGCGATGAACTCGGCGCCGCTCCTGCTGAGCGCGCTCGCGCTGCTGGGCCGCCGCGACGGCCTCTTCGCCGGCGCCGCGGAGACGCGCGCCATCTTCGCCGTGCTCGGCGTCGCGCACCTCGGCCAGGTCGTCGTCAACGTGCCCGGCTTCGCGCTCCGCTACGCGGGCGCGCGGCGCGCGCTCCGCGACGCGCTCCGCCTGCGGCCGGGGCTGCTGCCGCCCCACGTCGCGCGCTTCGCGGAGACGCCGCCCTGGCCCACGCCCGACGACGAGATGCTCACCGTGTTCTGCGTCGACGGCGTCCTGGCCGCGCTGAACTTCGCGTGCATCGTCGACGTCGACGGGTAACTTTACTCGCTCTCCAGCGTCGCGCCCGCGGGCGCGGCGTCGACCCAGATCGTCAGCGCCCGGCGGTCCTTGGCCGCGGGCCGGACCTCGTGCCAGACCTTGCGCGAGTCGAAGGCGACGACGCGGCCGAGCTTCGGCGTGACGTCGCGCGCGCCGTTCTGGAACGCCTTCGAGTGGACGCGGAGGCAGCCGCCGTCGTCGATGGGGTCCCAGCCGTCGTCGTTGACGTAGAGCAGCAGCGTGATGCGCCGCCGGTCGAGCACGGACCCCGCGACGGCCGCGGCCGCTTCCGCGTCGCCGCCGTACGCGTCCTTGTGGAGGTGGTACGTCGCGTCGGGCGTGTAGGCCGCGATCATCGCCGGCGGCGCGCGGACGTCCAGCGGCTCGCTGCGTCGCAGCGCGTCGCCGACGGCCTCGCCGACGGTCCGCAGCACCAGAAGCGCCTTCCGCAGGCCGTTCTCGCAGCTTTCCGGGATCGCGTCGTCGAAGGGCAGCGTCTCCGAGAACTGGCGCGGCGCGCACGCGTGCCGCGCGGCCCGCAGGCAGCCGCAGGCGCGCCGCTCCTCGATCTCGAGCATGGCCGCGCGCCACGCGGCGTCGCGGAGCTTCCACCGGCAGTCGACGACGACGACGCCGCCCGCCGCGAGCGTCGCGGCGAGCTCCGCCGGCGGCGGCACGGCGTCGCGCACGCTCGCGGCGATGGCGACGCGGTGCGCGAAGGGGAAGGTCGCGAGGGCGCGGTCCGGCGCGCCCGCGCGCTTCCGCCGGTACGCCTCCGCCGTCGCGTCCGCGAGGCACCGCCGCCGCGACGACAGCGCCTGGACCTCGAAGGCGTCCGCGTAGGGCCGCGCGCCGAGGGCCGTCGCCCGCTCGGCGTAGGCCCGCGCGCGGGGGCCGAGGTGGGCGCAGGGCTCGCGCGCGACGAGCGCCTCGTAGACCTCGCGGTTCGCGGCCGCCGCGCCCTTCAAGCTCAGGCTCTCGTCCTCGAGGTCCGCGGCGGCCATCGTGTCCTCGATGGTCGCGTAGGACTCCTTCGCGTCGCCGTCCAAAATCGCGGCGAAGCGCCGCGACAGCGCCTCGTCGCACTTCCGCGCGGACCGCTCCGCGGCCGTCTCCGCGTCCGCGGTGCCGTCCTCCGACCGCTGCTTCGCGGCGACCTGGGCCTCCTTGGCCGCGCAGCCCGCGTGGCAGGTCACGCGCCGGGCGCCGGCCGCGTCGCCCATCGCCGCGAGCCGGTCCGCGTCGCGGAGCGCGCGCTTGAGGTCCCACTGGCCCGCGAACGCGGAGCCGCGCGCGACCAAAGCTCTTTTGGCCAGATCGCTGCCGGCGTCGGCGAGCGCGAAGGCGTAGCCCGCGTCCTCGACGGCCCGGCCCTGGCGCCCGCAGGCGACGTGGTGGAAGCTCCGCGCGACGAGCGCCTTCGCCGCGGCGACGCGCGACTCGGCGCCCGGGAAGCAGCCGTCGCCCGACCTCCGCTCCTCCGCGCCGCGGTCCGCGAGGAACGTCCAGGGGCTGTCGAGCTGGCCGCCGCGCCGCGGGCCGCAGCCGAGGCACCCCTCGAGCATGGCGTCGCCGCGCCAGTCCATGGTCGGCGGGCCCCAGGGGTTCTTATCTTCGACGCCTTTGCCCCACGTTAACGCGCAGAGCGCGACGGTGCAGTAGTCGCAGCCGCGCTCGAAGTCGCCGACGTCCGCGGCGAGCTCGCCGTCCTCGACGCAGCGCTCCGCGAAGGCGACGTCTCTGGAACGAGCGGACACGTCTTGCTGGGCTGCCATAGTCGCCTTTCGTGTTCACCGGCGGCACCGTCGGCATGATGAACTTTGCGGTACGCGGTCGATTGAACTCGGACTCGAGTTTTTCAGCCGTGCGAGGTGGTCGTCGCGGCAACCACCCCTGTTGCAGCCGCGTCGCGCATGATCGTGAGGACCGCAGCCATGGGAGCGCCTGGCAAAATGCTCCCCGCCCTCCTGCGCCACGCGCCCGTGCGCGGGCGCGCGACCATGGCGCTGTCTCCGGCCCTGGAGGCCGGGGGCAAGTACCTCGCGGCGCTGGTCCCCCTGCGCGGCGGCGCGTCGGAGGGCGGCCCCATCGGCAAGTTCTTCCTCGGCGACGAGAACGTCGTCGCCTTCAAGGTCGGCCTCGCCTTCGCGCTCTGCGCCTTCAACGCGCTCTGCTGGGGCGCGCCGCTGCGCTACAAGCGGTTCACGGGGAACCCGAAGAAGCTTAGCATCGCGTCGACGTTCAGCGGCGGCGTCTTCCTCGCGCTGGCCTTCGGCCACATGATGCCCGAGGCGGCGAGCGCCTTCGGCGCCGGGGGCGCGCGGCCCGCGTGCCTCTGGACGCTCGCGGGCTACCTGCTCATCTGGTCCGTCGAGCGGTGGTCCGCGCCGGCGCACGCGCCGCCGGACTTTGGGCACAACGCCGTGCCGGCGCCCGGGGGCGAGGGCGAGGCCAAGGCCCACGGCGGGTCCGCGGCCATGCTCCTGGGCGCGCTCTCCGTGCACTCGATGCTCGAGACGATGGCGCTCGCCGTCGCGCGGACGAAGACGGCGGCGCTGTTGCTCAGCGCGTCCATCGCGCTGCACCAGCCGGCGGAGTCGCTGGCGCTGGTCGTCGCGCTGTTGCGCAGCGGCATGCCCTCGCGGCGGTTGCTCCGGCTCCTCCTCACGTTCACGGCCATGGGGCCGATCGGCGCGGGCCTCGGCCTCGGCCTCCAGCGCGCGTTCGGCGGCGCGATCGGCGGCGCGCTCGACGGCGCCCTCATCGCCCTCACGGCGGGCACCTTCGTCTACGTCGGGGCCACGGAGGTCATCCCCGAGGAGTTCGAGGGCGAGGCCGCCTCGAAGGCGAAGGTCCTCGCGCTCGTCGCGGGCGTCTGCACGATCCTCGGCCTCGCCCACTTCGCCGAGGTCCTCGAGGCGAGCATCTAGGCGGCCTCGCGCGCCGTGCTCCTCCCGCTCCTCCCCGCGCGCCCGCTCCACTAAGCACCACGTCGCTCGCGAGGGTGTGTGACGCGCGCCGCGGCGCCGGCCGCGCCTACTTGACGTACTTGGACTGGGGGATGGGGTCGACCTTGATGCCGGAGTACTTGCCGAACTGGTGGTAGTTGGGGATGCGCGTGAGGCCCTTCTCCTCGAGGGACTTCTGGTAGTACTTGTAGCCCATGTTGCGCCGCGCGTCGTAGGCCTTCTTGATGCGGTGCTTGTCGAGCCAGCCCTGGATGTCGTTGAAGTACTCGGAGCCCTCGAAGGGGCCGGGCTCCTGGAGGTCGTCCCAGGTCTCGAGATCCTTGACGGCCTTGGTCGAGATCCAGCCGGCGACGGGCTTGTCGATGTAGAGGCGGATGGGCGTCGTCTCCCACGACTTCGGGTCCACGGGGACGACGAACTCGCCCGTCGCGCAGACGACGGTCTTGCAGGCGACCTCGCCGACGACGGGCGACTTGAGGTCCGGGCCCTCGCGGACCGTCGCGACCTTGGTGAAGACCTTGTAGAAGTGCCACTGGTGGTAGCGGTGCGGCGCGAGCTGCGACGTCCAGCCGGGGACGACGTAGCCGCCCATGGGCCGGTCCTTGAGCTCGTTCTCGAGCACGTCGCCGCGGAGCTCGGCCTCCTCGTCGAAGAGGGGCGGGCCCAACACGTAGTCGGGGAAGACCTGGGTGAAGACGTCGCGGCCCTTGACGCGCTTCCAGTACTGCCAGCACCGCGGCCGCGCCTGCATGTTGCGCCGCGTGAACTTGCACCACCAGCAGCGCGCGAGGAGGCACGTCCACAAAATGTCGCAGACCGTGTAGGACGCCTCGTCGGGGCCGCACATCCACGAGTCCCACATGTTCGCGCACTCGTTCGTCTCCATGACGCCCTCGAGCGCGTCGAACGCGCCGTAGAAGTGCATCATGTGCTCGTTGAAGAGCTCGTCGCTGTACTTCATGTCGTGGAGCGTCTTGCGCTTCTGGTTGATCAAAGCGGCCATGGCGGCCTTGAGCTCCGGGTCCGCGCACTTCTCGACGGCGGCCGTCAATTTTTTTATCCCGTCGAAGATGTGCTGCGTGATCTTGAGCATGGACCCCTCCTTGCTCCAGCCGCAGACCTCGACGCGGTAGAGCAGCGTGTAGGAGACGACGTCCATCTCGTAGTGCTCGTCCATGAGCTCGTCGTAGCGCTTGAGCATGTACGACTCCGGCGGGGGCTTCAGGGGCACGCGGCCGATGGGCAGCTCCTGGATCCACTCGATGATCTTGCGCGGCTCGCTGACGACCGTGCCCCCGCAGACCAGGGTCGGCAGCGTCGCCTTGGGGTTGAGCTTGAGGTACCACTCCTCGAGGTTCTCGAGCTTCTCCTCGTCGACGGGCTTCGACGTGTACTTGACGCCCTTCTCGATGAGCAGCATGCGCGCGCACTGGCTGTGGTAGTCCAGCGGCGACTCGTAGAGGATGATCTCCCCGCCCTCGAACTCGACGAGGGCCGCCATGCTCGGCGGCGCAGTGGACTCGGCGGCCTTTCCGATCGATGCCTCGATGGTCGAAGCGGGGCAACCCGTGCAACATTAGCTGCCGCATCCTTTAAAAACGAAGGCAGGATTGCCGCAAGCTTGCGAGACGTCGACGAGCTCTTGCGCGAGCTCTTGTCGTCCACCATGACGACGCAGCGAGCCGTGCGCGGCAGCGACCTGACGCTCCACGTGCTCGGCGAGCACTACGAGGTCGTGCGCCTCGGGCCCGGCGCGGCGATCCCGGCGGACCTCTTCTCCTCGAACCCGTCGTCGAGCCTCGTGTCCATCACGCGCACGGCCGACGAGCTGTCGATCATCCGGCCGCGCGGCGCGCGGCGCATCGACGGCGAAAAGCTCGAGGCGGGCTGGCGCGCGCTCAAGGTCCAGGGCCCGCTGCCCTTCCACCTCGTCGGCGTGCTGAGCCACCTGTCCGCGACGCTGGCCGCGGCCGGCGTGTCCATCTTCGTCAACAGCACCTACGACACGGACTACGTCATGGTCAAGGACGACAAGCTCCACGCGGCCGTCGACGCTTTGAAGGCCGGCGGCTCGACGGTCCACGGCTTCAAGGCCAAGAAACCCAAAAAGGCGTCGCTCGAGGACGCGTTCGCGAACGCGGGCCAGGCGCCCCCCGAGAAGAAGGTCAAGGACAAGAAGAAGAAGGAGCGCAAGGCCGCGGCGCCGCTCGACAACGACGCGGCGGCGCTGAACGACTGCTTCGCGTCGTACGTGCCCGCGGCCGAGCCCGTCGCGGCGCCGCCGGACGACGACTCGGACTCGTCGTCCGACGACGGCCTCGCCGCGTCCTTCCGCGCCGCGACGACGGAGAAGCGGCCGAGCGGCCTCGCCGCGGACCTCAAGGCCGAGTTCGCGTCCCTCGTCGACACGGACGCGATCGTCGCTCCCGAGCCGCCGCGGAAGCTCAGCCTCGCGCCGCCGCCCGCGCGCTACCCGGGCGCGGCCCTCGTCAACCGCCCGCCGGCCAAGTCGACCATGACCGGTGACCCGGTCATGGTCGACAACCGCTTCACGCAGTCGTCGACGAAGCTCGCCGCGGGCTTCGGCGTCTGCGGCAACGCGCCCCTCGGCGACGTGCCGGCGGCGCGGCCCCAGATCGCGCCGGCGAGGCCGCCCCAGACCGCGTCCGTGGGCGAGGCCTTCGGCTCCGCGATCGACGGCTGGTCGAACGCGCCGCGGCCGCCGACGAGCCCCGGCGGCGGGTTCCCCGGCGGGCTCTAGCTGTTTTTGTACGCCGCTCATTTAACGTTTGATATTCGCGTAACTCCTGTTTTTATTTGCATCCTGCGCCTCGCCGAGGCGGACGATGAGGTCGTGCATGGTGGAGGTACTACGGTCGGTCGTGGAGCCTTCGAGGCCTCGCCGCCGTCGGTCGGTGGCCGACGGTCTGTCGTGTCTCTCGTGTTCGCCGTGTCGCTCGCTTTTTCCCGGAATCTGCCAGAGCTTGTCTCGTCGCAAGCACCCACAAGGAGATCTCGACTCCACAAAGCAAGCGTTCGCGCACCGCCCACACTCACAGCTAGCGTTCACGAACACGGCAGCTCACGCAATGAACGCTTCGCATTCGCAACTGCTCGCAACCGTTTGCGCCGCCATCGCGTTCGCACGCCTCCTAACCTTCGAGAATGCCGCCGACCTCAAGTTTTTCGGCGGCGTGCCGTTCGCCCTCGATTTCTGGCACGCCGTGCGCGGCGCGCCGCCGCCGACGCTCTTGAAGCTCCCGTGCGACCAGATGGACCGCGCGCTCGACGCGAATCAGCCGATACTGTTCGAGGGTTGCATTCCGGACGGCGTGGGACTGACGGACCAGATCAGAGTGAGACTGCGTTACGGGTATCCTAGGCGTATCCTGGCTCCTCTGCTCCCCCGCCGCGGCCGGAAAGGCGGAGCGGGGACTGCGAAGCCAGGCCGGGGAATGAGAATGTGCACGCCGCAGCGTGCAGGGAGGCGGGCGGGCGCCACGGCACCGCGCCGGACGATGGTCGTGCCCGAGGCGTTGTCCGTCGGTCGCATGACGGCGCCCGTCGTGACGCATTTCTTCCACGCGGGACGGACGGCCGTCTACTACCTCCACGCACACATGGACCGGTTCCTCAGCTTCTGCCTCCAGGAGGAGAAGCGGTGGACGCTCGTCGCGCCGCGGCACTTCAAGCACTTCCAGCACCGCTGGTCGGGCAGCGCGGAGATGATGCTCCGGGAGACGACGCCGGCGCCGCGCCCCGAGGTCACGCAGCGCCGGGGCGACGTGTTGTTTGTCCCGCCGTGGTGGATCCACGAGACGCGCGTCGCGCCCGGCACCAAGAACTTCGGCATGAACATCCACTGGATGTCCCAGGGGCAGGTCCTCGGTTGGGCAGCGCGTCTGCATCACTTCCTCGGCAACCCCTTTTGGTTCTTCGGGACTCATGAGGCGCAAGCGTCGCCGAGCGGCCCGCGCCGCGGTCCGCCGGCGGCCGCCGCCGCGGCGCTCGCGGCGACTTCGCTCGCCTCCGCTAAGAAAGCCGCGTAGAATCGGGGGAACCTGGCACTGGTTCGCGATGGTCAGGCGCCCATTTGAGACGAGGCCCGGGCGCGGCCCGGGCGGCGCGCCGACGCATGGCCGACGCCTCCGCGAGTCCTTCCGCACCCGACGGCGCCGACCCCCGGCGAGACGATTGCCACTGGAAGGTCGTCTCCGTCGCATGCGATGAGAGGCAGTCGTAGTACGTCGCGTGCGCCTGGGCAAATGGCGCGCGCGCTGCTGCTGCTCTTCTGCGTCGCACGTTACACCGTCGCCGTCACGCCGACAGCAGAGCTCACGTTCGCCACCACGACGCTCGGCGCCGCCCCTGCATCCTTTGGCGTCGCGCTACCGACGAGCAAGGGCAGCGCCCTGCGCCTCACGCTGCGCTGGGCCGGCGGCCTCGCCGACGGCTGCGCGCCCGAGGTGGACAAGTGGAGCGACGTCGCGAGCGTCGCGCACGACGGCTTCGGCCTGCTCGCGGCCCGGAGCCCGAACTGCACGTTCGTCGACCGCGCGGCGGCCGCCGCCAAGGCGGGCGTGCGCGCGCTCGTCGTCTACAACACGGTCGAGGGCATCTACCGGAACCGGTCGTACGCCGAGGACAAGTACGACTACGACTGCGGCAACGGGCGCGGCGCGGTGGACGCGTCGTCCTACGCGTCGAACGACGCGTACAAGGAGGACCGGCTCGCGGGCTTCCCCGGGTCGTCCTGCGCGACGGGCTCGTCCTGCGAGAGCGGCCGCTGCCTCTTGACGGGCAACGGCGGCGAGGTCTGCTGCGCCTGGGACACCTACATGACCATGGCCGGCGACGCGGCGGAGACCGTCGGCGCGGTCTCCGCCGTGTTCGTCACGATGCGCGACGCCGACAAGCTCCGCGGCAACGCGAACCTCGCGACGCCGGCGCCGAACGCCGTCGCGGCGACGCTCTGGGACGACGGCCAGGAGAGCCTCGTGTCCTGGAGCTCCGTGTTGATTTGGTTGTTGGGCGTCTGCACGTGCGCGTACGCCGCGTGGGCGTCGGGCGACGACATCCGGCGGCGCGCGAAGCGCGGGTCGGACCCGGCGGCGAGCGTGGCCATCGACGGCGGCGACGACGACGACGCGCCGGAGTTCGAGCTGACGCCGGCCCACGCCGTGGGGTTCATCTGCGTCGCGTCGGGCGCGTTGTTGGTGCTCTTCTACGTGGACATGTACTTCGTGGTCATCTGCGCCTTCGCGCTGTCGTCGGCGTCGTCGACGACGGCCGTGCTCTGGCGGCCGCTCCTGGGTCGGATCCGCTCCTGCGCGCGGCGCGAGCTCTTCGAGAGCCGCCATTTCGGCGCCGTGTCGCTCCTCGACGTCGCGTCGGCGGGCCTGGGCGTCTCCTGCTCGCTCTGGTGGCTCGCGGCGCGGCGCGCGTCCTACGCCTGGGTGCTCCAGGACACGTTCGGCATGTGCCTCTGCGTGCTCTTCCTCAACGTGATCAAGCTCAACAGTCTGAGGGTCGCGGCGATGCTGCTATCCATGGCGTTCTGCTACGACATCTTCTTCGTCTTCCTGAGCCCCTACTTCTTCGAGGAGTCGATCATGGTCAAGGTGGCCACGGGCAAGGGGCCGTCGAAGGACGCGGACTATTGCGAGAAGTACCCGGCCGACGACGACTGCCAGTCGACGCAGCTGCCCATGCTGCTCATGCTGCCGCGCTTCGGCGAGGTGGGGGGCGGCTACACCATGCTCGGCCTCGGCGACATCGTCCTGCCGGGCCTGCTCGTGTCCTTCGCGGCGCGCTACGACGCCGCGGCCGCGGCCGCGCACGGCACGCGGCTGCCCAAGTACTTTTTGCTCATGGTCGCGGGCTACGCGGCGGGCCTGGCCATGGCGAACGTCGCCGTCGCCGTCTTCCAGCTCGGCCAGCCGGCCCTGCTCTACCTCGTCCCCTGCACGCTCGGCGTCTTCCTCCTCTACGCGCGGTCCGAGGGCACGCTCCCCATGTTCTGGCGCGGGCCGCCGGCGCTCAACGGCGGGCCGCCGCCGAAGAGCGACGGCCGCCAGCTCGGCAACCTCCCCTACCAGAACGAGGACGAGGCGCTCCTCAAGATCTCCATCTAGGGGACGCCCCTTTTTTCGGCGCGGTTTTTAACGCGCGCGCCTAGAAGATCTTGGCGAGGCGCCACTCGACGTCGTCCAAATCCGTCGTGAGGAAGCGCCACGTCGACAGCTGGCGCTTCTCGACGACGACCGTCTGCCCCGCGGCCTCGACGCTCATGCGCTCGTTGCTCTCGAAGAGCACGTCGAACTCGCAGGACACGAAGGGCGCCTCGACGGCGCCGTGCTCGTCGCCCCGCGCGGCGCGGAGCTCCGTGAGCTCCTCGCCCATGGAGACGAGCATCTTCGACCGCGCCTCGTCCGTCTCGAGGTCGTGCAATAGGTCGTCGTAGCCCCGGAGCGCGTGCTCGAGGTCGCGCTCGCGCTCCGTGGCGAAGGTGTCGCAGACGGCGGCGCGCAGGGACCGCCGCGCGAGCGCGGACTCCTCGAGCGTGTAGGTCATGGCCCGGTCCGCGCCGTGGAGCTCCTCGGCCGTCGCCGAGAGCACGCGCGCCATCTGAGGCGTGCACGTCCGCTCGAGCAGGCCGAGGTCGCGCGTCGTCGACCGCCGGTACACGAGCGCGTTGAGCGTCTCGTAGGCGTGCGCCGCGCCCTCGACGAACTCGCCGAGGCCGCTCGCCGTCGCCAGCTCGGCCTCGTCGAGCGGCGGCATGGTGCACTGCAGCGCCAGCGCCATGCGCGGCACGGCCCAGACCAGGGAGGCGTCGCAGGCGCCGCTCTCGAGGAGCGTCTCGTAGAGCCTCGACGCGTGGGTGACCTGCGCGAAGATGCGCTGCATGGCGCGCGGCTGGAGCTGCCGGCAGGCCGGCGGCGGTGGTGGTCGGCAAGGAAGCTGAGGCAACATCGATTCAGTTTAGGTTCAACTACATGTCTTTTGCGCGCTTCTCGAGCCTCTGCCCTTGGTCATGGGCGTCGTCGCGCCTCTGCCCTTGGTCATGGGCGTCGTCGCGCCTCTGCCCTTGGTCATGGGCGTCGTCGCGGCGGCTGCGCGGGTGCTCGTGAAGCTCTTCCCAAGGCTGCGCTACCCGCCTCGCGGGAGCATCGCGTGGTTGGTGATGATCGCGGAGAGCGGCAGCGACGAGGAGCAGGTGGACGCCGCGTGTGCGCTGGCCAACGTCGCGTACCTCGACGACGCCAGCGAGGTCGCCAAGGCGGGCGGCATCGCGCCGCTCGTCCAGCTCGTGCAGGGTGGCAGCGACGAAGCCAAGATGTACGCCGCGTGGGCGCTGAAGGAACTCTGCCACTACGAGGACAACCGCGGCCCCGTCGGCGCGGCCGGCGGCATCGCGCCGCTCGTCTCGCTCTGCAAGCGCGGCATCGACTTCTCGCCGAGCACGGAGCTCGCGGTATGCTTGCTCGGTTCCGTCTCCCAGCAGGCCGCCGCCGACGCGCCCGAGGAGGAGGAGCCGGCGCCCGCGCCCGCGACGGCCGGCCGCGGTCGGAAGCGCAAGTACGCCAAGAGCGGGGGGCGCGACTTCGGCAAGGTCCTCGCCACGCAGGCGCTGTGGAACCTCGCGTGGGCCAACGACGACAACAAGATGCGGATCGCAGAGGCCATCGGCCTCCATGGCGTCGTCGAGTTCGCCCAGACGGGCAGCGTGTCCCTCGAGTCTGGCTTGCTCGTTTGCGGTGCCAGCTTGGCCGTCAAGCGCAAAGCCTGGCAATTGCTGATCCGGAAGTGCCTCCGCGGCGTAGTCCCCGAGGACATCGAGCTCGTCATTGCTGCCTTCGCCCTCTGATGTCCATGGTCTTTCGGGAGTCGTAAAGGACACTTAGCTCCTGATGGTCGCGAGGTTGCCCTGGCGGGACCGGCCGACGCGGCCCGATTTGTCGGTGGCGCGCCCTTGTCCGGGGCCCGATTGTCCGGGGCCGACGCGGGTCGTGGCGCCGACGGGGCGCGATTGTCCGGGGCCGACGCGGGTCGTGGCGCCGACGGGGCGCCCTTGTCTGACGCGGGTCGTGGCGCCGACGGGGCGCGATTGTCCGCCGGAGGCGACGCGGATCGTGGCGCCGACGGCGAATTTTCCGACGTTGTTGGAGACGGTCTTCGGCGTCGACGAGCGCTGGCCCATGCGGCCGCCGGAGCCCGGCGGCGTGCGCGCGGAGCCGTACGCGCCGGGCGGCGTGCGCACGGTGCCCGCGGGCGAGGTGCCCCGGGGCGTCCCGCCGGGCGAGCCCGAGAGGCCCCGGCTCGTCGCCCCGGGCGAGCCGAAGGCGCCGCGGCCCGTCGCCGCGGCCCGGGGCGACGGCGCCGCGCCGCGGCTCGACGGGCCGCGGGGCGACGGCGCCGCGCCGCGGCTCGACGGGCCGCGGGGCGACCCCGGCGCCGCGGGCCGCTTCTCGCTCGCGTTGCCCCGGGCCTTCATCTGGTTCGAGTTGGGCCGCGAGCCGGGCCGCGGCGCGCCTCGGACGGGCGTCGTCGCGCGGCTCGCGGCCGGCGACTGCTTGCGGCTGTTGGGCGTCTGCGCGCGCGACCCGGCGCGCGACTCCGACGGCGACGGCCGGTTCGAGCCCGACGCGACGGGCGTCGTCTCGATCATGCGCCGCAAACCCCGCGTGAGCGTGCCCATGCCCGCGCGGCCCAGGTGGTCCGCCTCGGAGAACGTGCCCCGGTGCAGGTTCGGGATCGCCGCGTGCACCGAGTCGCGGTGCGCGGGCTCCTCGGGCGCTTTGCGCGCGGACGCCTTGGCGGGCCGCGGCGGCCTCGTCTCCGGCGCGCCGCCGCGCGAGCCCGGCCGCGAGCCCGGGCGGCTCGACGGCGCCGTCGACGGCGCGCCGTCGTCGGCCGCGGGCGCGGGCGCCGCGGCCTCGAGCTCCCGCGCGGTGACGTAGTCCTCCATGCGGCGGCCGGAGACCTTGGGCTTGCGCACGGGCGCGACGGCGTGGAGCAGGGACGGGGGCCGCTTCGCCGGCGCGGGCTTGTCCGGCGGCGCCGCGGCCGGGTTCATCTTCGCGCCGAGGAGGTTCGCCATCGGATTCAGCGACGCGAGGACGTCCTCCATGCGCCGCGCCTTTGGCGCCTCCGCCGACGTCGGCGTCTCCGACGACGGCGGCCGCGTCGCCGCCTCCCCGGCGGGCGGCGTCGCCGTCCGCGGGCGCGACGACGGCGGCCGCGACGGGCCCGGCGACGGCGACGGCGTCGGCGACGGCCTCGGGTCCGGCGCGGGCGCGTCCGCGGGCGGCGTCGCGCCGTCCCAGGAGTCGGGCACGCCCCCGGCCGCCGCGGAGAAGCGCAGCTCCTTCTTGCCCGCGGCCGTGATCTCCACGGTCATGACGACGTTCGACAGCGGCGCCTCCGCGGACTCCATGAACCCCGCGGCCGCGCCCTCGGCCTCCAATCGCGCCGCGGCCTCGGCCGCGTCGAGCTCCTCGTCCAGCGCGAAGAGCTCGCTCAGGTCCTCCATGGCGTAGGGGTGGTAGGAAAAGCGGTGCTCCCGCCGCTTCTGCTCCAGCAGCGCCTCGCGCTGCTCCTCGGTCCGCCCGACATGGATTGGGGGCTCGTCGGACGAGTGGTCCACGTCGCCGCGCGCGACGCGGCCCTGTGTGCGGTGCGACGCGAGCTTGCCGCCCGCGCCGCCCACGCCCTCGCCGGGGACGACGAGGCAGAAGACGTCGAGGCCGAACCATTGGTTGTCCGCGAGCCACGCGTCGACGGGGCCGACGACGGGCAGGTGACCCGCGAGCTTCGCCGCGGCCGTGTTCCGCAGCGCGTAGCAGTGCATGCCCAGCGTGTACTCCGGCCGGAAACAGCAGTTGCCCGTGCCCTCGGCGTAGCGCCGCTGGCCGTAGTCGTGGAAGCCGAGGTAGACGACGTCACACCGCGCGTGCCAGAGCCGCGGCCAGAGCCTGGGCAGGAAAAGGGTGATTCAACGTCGCTTCAACGTGAGTGTTTCGCGCGCGCGCGTTCCGGAAAAAGCGTCTACGCTTCGAGACCGTTCCGAGAGATGATCGCTCGTCCAAAAGTCAGCCAAAACGAGTGGAAAACGGCCGAGATATGAGCCTTTGAAGTTGGGAATTTCGCTCTCTTTTGCTGCCCTGGCCAGAGCCTCGCGATCTGGAACGCGAAGCGCGGGTGGAGCTTCACGTCGTCCTCGCAGATGAGGTGCCAGGAGTCCTTGGTGCCCCGCGGAGCGATGCGGCGCCAGATGGACGCGTGGCTCAGAGCGCAGCCCTGCTCGCCGAACGACGCGAAGCGGCAGCCGGGCTCGACGGACGGCTCGCGGTCCGCCAAATTCGACGCGTCCCAGAGCGGCTCGAACATGCCGTTGAGGAAGGACCCGCCCCGGTGGAGCTGGAAGCCGTCGAAGGCCTCGACGACGTCGACGGCGACGCCGTCGCCGAGCGCCTTCGGCGCGTCCTCGAGGAAGGCCTCGAGGCGGTCCGTGCGCCGCTTGAGATTGATGAGGCTCACGCCCGACGTGAATAAAGTCGTCGCGTCCCAGGGCACCTTCTCGCGCGGCGCCGCGCCCTGGGGCGCCGCGCCCTTGGGCGCCGCGCCCTTGGGCGTCGGCCGCGGGCCCCGCGCCGGCTTCCGCCGCGGCGGCCGCGGCGGCGCGGGCCTGTCCGCGAAGTCCGCCGCCGCGGCGTCGAAGGTCAGCACCGACGGCCGCTCGCTGATCATCAGCGACGTCCGCTCCGTGCAGGCGCTGAAGCGCGACGGCGACAGGCTCTCGGCCAGGCTCTTCTGCGGCAGCGCGAAGGGCTCCGGCTCGGGCTCCGGCTCGGGCTCCGGCGGCTCGGCGATGACGACCTTGACGGGACTGCGCTCCGCCATGGCGTCCAGCGTGCCCATGCCGAGGCCCAGCGGCTCCGCCATGCTGGGCTTCCTAGTACGGAGAGCACATCGTGATCATGAAACGCTCGGGTAAATGTGTGGTTCAACATGATCAATTCGCAAAATGGCTTGTGGTGAAAGGCCGAGCCCTAGCTGCTGATGCCCGTCACGTTCCAGCCGCTGTCGGCCTGGCGGCCCGGCCGCGCCGTCGTCCACGTCAAAGGCTTCGCCGATCGGCTCGACTATTCCAATGCCGCCGTCGCGGCGTGCGCCGATGCGCTGCTCGCAGCCCTGCGAGACCGCGCGGCGCAGCACGCGCAGCTCGCCGTCGCCTTCGACGGCGACGACCTCGCGGCCGGGAGCTTCACCGACGTCGTGCGGCGCGCGCACGAGGAGCTCGGGCTGCCGCTCGTCGCCTTCAAGTACGAGCGCGAGCGCGCCGCCTTCGAGCGGTCCTGGCGGGACCGGCCCGTCGAGTGCTTCCTCGCGCCGGAGCCGCCGGACGGGTTCGACGGATGCCGCTACGCGCGCCTGGGCCTCGCCGCGCTCGAGGCGACGGGCGCGGCCGAGGCGCTGTGCCTCGGCGGCGGACCCGTCGCCGCGCGGGAGCTCCGAGGCTCGGACGCGCTGCCGCCGCCCGCGCGGACCTTCGTCCTCTTTCCCGCGACGCGGCCCGGAGCGTCGGGCGGCGTCGAAGCGAGCGCGCTCCTCGAGCACCGCGCCTCGCCGCGCCTCGTCGTCGTCGACGCGGCCGCGCCGCCGCCGCCGCCGCCGCCGCTCCGACTCTCGAGCGCGGACGCCGTCGTCAAGCTCTCGCGCCTCGCCGGCGCGGGCCTCGGCCTCTTCGCGGCGCGCCGCTTCGCCGTCGGCGAGGTGCTGCTCGACTACGGCGGCGACGTCCTCGGCACGAAGGACGCGATGCGTTTGGGCGACAAGTCGTACCTCATGCGCCTCGGCGGCGACGTCTACGTCGACGCGCGGCGCCGCGACGACGTCCAGGCGCGCTACATCAACGACGCGCGCGACAAGCGCGTCCACAACGTCGCGTTCCGCAAGCTCCCGGACCTCCGGAAGGCCGAGGTCGTCGTCTCGCGGCCCGTGGACGCCGGCGACGAGTTCTACGCGTCCTACGGCACCTTCTACTGGCTCTCCCTCGACATGCGCGGCGAGGTCTCGGCGCGCCTGCCCGAGGACCAGGTCCGCGCGCTCGTCGCCAAGGAGGCCGCGTTCTGGGACGGCGCGCCGCCGAGGCCGCCGGAGCCGCCGGAGGCGGAGGGGGGGGGCGCTTAGTTTTGCTTCTACTCTAGCGTGGATGGTGTGGGTCGTTTTGTGATGACTTAGGCAGCTAAAGCGACTCGGAAAAGCGACGGTTCCAGAAGCCCAGGATGTGCGCGAAGACCTCCTTTGGCAGCGGCGTCGCAGCTGCGACGCGCCGGGCGCGCGTTCGCGCCTTGCCGGCGTTCGGGATCGGCGCGGCGCCGAAGAGTCGCAGGAAGTGCGGCGGAGCCCTCGCGCGGCCCGCGAGGCAAAGATAGCGCAGCGCGAGGAGCGCCGCGACAGGTTCGCGGACGTAACGCGTCCACGATCCGGCCGCTCGCACTCCCTGAGGAATTTGATCAAGTAGTAGTTTTCCCATGCAGGTTGGGCTTCATATCGGTGACGCGCGACGTCGAGCGCATCCACACCATCAGAAGTACGCAGATCGAGCGACGCCCCGTGTCGGAGCAGAGCGACAATGCAATCAGGCGGACCTTCAGCGACGGCACAAATGAGCGGTGTAATCCCTCCTGTTTTTACACAATCCACGTGCGCGCCGTGCGCGACGAGGAGGTCGATGTACATGCTCTGCTTCGTGGCGACAATATGCAAAGGCAGCGCCCACTCCTCATTCCCGGCGTTTGGGTCTGCGCCATGATCCTCAATCAGGCTTCGAACCATCTCCATTTTTACTTCATCACTCGTCTCATCCGAGAACAACGCGCAGGCCAAGACTGGGACAACTCCTAATCGGTCGTTCACGTCGACGGTCCCTGAAGCCAATGCGGCTTCCACACCTCGAAGGTCTCCATCATACACCCTGCGGAAGAATTCGGAAGTTGAAACCATGCTCGTCGACTGCACGGTGCGGGCGAACACACCGGCAATGCACCGTCTCTGCGCGTGAGCGACAAACGCGTCTCTGGCGACTGCGGGCGTGTACCTCGAGCACCACGCGACCACGACGATCACGACGTCATCAAGACTTCATCACTGCAATGTGCCAACCTTGGAGCGATAGAGTATGGCCTGGGATGGAGTGAGACGCTGCCCGAAACGCTGCGACATGTAGTGAGATGGCGCCGCTCAGAATAATCTAGTCCTTATATCACCTCCCCCCTTGCCAGCGCGCCAAACATCCGCTCGAGTTCCGAAATATCCTTCGCGTACGACGTGGCCACGAGCGTCGCGACGTCGTCGAGGTCCCGCGCCGTCTCGCGCGCGCAGTCGACGACCCGCGGCGACGCGTCCACCCCCTGGACCCAGTACTCCGCGCCGTACGTCGTGAGGAACTCGTCGCCTGAATGCGAATCACGTCAGAGTTTCCAGAAGGTGGTTGATTTGCGCGCTGCTCGTCGCCCGCGCTCACGTCCCGCGTCGTCGCGTACGCCAGCAGCGGCGCGGGACCCACGGGGACCAGCGCGCAGTTTTTCCGCGCCCGCGACGCCTCGTAGTAGCTCACCGCCGAGGCCTCGTCGCCCGCGGCGGCCGAGGCGCCGTCGTTGACGAGCGACGCCGTCCAGCCCGTCGGGTTCGGCCTCAGCGGGTTGACGTCGATGAAATACGGCGTGGATACGTCGTCGGCCGCGCCAAAGAGGCTCCGGCCGCCGACGACGTACTGCTTGTAGGCCGCCGAGGCGTCTGGCGCGCGGCCGTCGAAGAAAGGCTCGTCGGTCGCCTGCGCGGGAGCAAACCCTCGACACGCGTCGAGGAGGACTACATCACAATTGACGCGCGTCGAGAGGACTACGTCACAGCGTCAATTGAATGCACACACCGTCCGCCACGTCCGCCAAAAACGCCGAGTCGCCGGTGGGAAAGTGGTTGTCGCGGCCGACGGCGTGCACCGCATAGAAAGCGACCAGCGTCGCGGCGGGCACGTCCGTCGCGGCGAACAGGCCCGTCCCGGCGCCCGCGATCGAGGAGGGCCTGGCTTCCGCGAGCGCCGGCAGTCCCTTCATGCGCTCGAAGGCCGGGTGCGCGAGGAACGCGGGCTGCTGCACCGCGCGCAGCACGTCCAGAGTCAGCGCAACCGCGTCGCCCGCGGCCGCGCGCGCGGCCGCGTCCGCGTCTTCCTTGGACCCGCCGCGGGGCGCTTTCTTTTTGCGCTTCGCGCCGTTCGGATTCTTCAACTCCGCCAAGCGCTTCTTGGCTGCGAGAGGTGTGAGTGAGCTCTGTGTGCTGCAGCGCAGGAATGCACTTGCTGCAGCGCACAGCAGCAAGCATGAATGCGACGGCATGGCCCCGGGGCGCCGCAAGAATTAGTTCGACTTACGGCGCCGACGACGACGGCGTCAAGAATTGGTTCGACGACGGCGCCGACGACGCGGCGTCGAGGAGATGTCGAGGGCGTCCCCTTCAACTACATCAACAACTAATTCATCTTACAGCTGTAGCCTCAAGGACGCCGGCAGCCGTGAAGCATGTGGGTTCCACCCATGCTGCGCGCAGCGTTGGTCGCTCACCTTAGCCTCAGAGACGCGGGCAGCCTTCGAAGCATGTGAGTTCCACCCATGCTGCGCGCAGCGTTGATCGCCATCGCTGCGATGCGCGCGCGCGCGTCAAACAACTACACCTTCGTCTGGTACCATCCGCACAAGTGCGGCACGAGCTTCGCGCTCACGCTCCTGCGCTTCGACTGCCCGAACCTGCCGGACGACGCAGCGCTGGACACGACCGCGAGCACGGCGGCGACGCAGCCGCGGCCGTCGAAGCTCATCGGCGACTTCAAGGCCAAGTACGACTGCGACGCGCGCCTCAACGGCGAGCACACGCGCGTCGGCCGCGAGCGGCGGTCGCGCGACGGGAGCGAGCAGCTCGAGTGGAGCTGGGTCCAGCGCAGCGTCGAGCGACGGGAGTGTTTTTTTGCGTGGATGTCGCCTGAAGATGTGAAGAAATCCGACCCCGTCGCACTTGGTAGGTCCAGCGCAAAGGCTTGTTCGTCACCATCCTGCGCGACCCGCGGGAGCGCATCTTATCCCACCTCGCGCTCGTGATGCAGCACCGCGTCCGCCGCCGGCGGCCGCCGAGCTCGGACCTCTCGAAGCTCGCGGGCGAGAAGTCCGTCTACGTCCGCGGCCTCACTGCGGACCTCGCCGCCGCGGACGCGGGCACCGCCGCGGCGCGCCTCGAGGAGGGATTCCAGTTCGTCGGCATACTCTCACACTGGGCCGCGTCGATCTGCCTCTTCCACGCGCTCTTTCCCGGCGTCGCGTGCCTCGACGACGGAGTTCGCCAACAGCCGGCCCGGCCCGGCGGGCCACGATCGCCTCGCCTACCTCAACGACGCCGGCTGGAACATCTCGCTGACCGACCCGTTCTGGACCGCCGACTTTCCCGACCTCGCCGTCTACGACGCGGCCGTCCGCTGGTTCGACGCGCGACGGCGGGGCGACGACGAGTGCCGGACCATCTGCCCGCCGCGCTTCTTCGGGTCATCATGATGATAAATTTACTTCGCGACGAAGTCCGCGGCCTCGAACTCCGGCGGCGCGGGCGCGAGGTCCGATGCTGGGCAGGTGCCGATGGCCCCCCGGTCGTCGTGGAAGACGACCTCGACGTCTCCGTGGCCGTGCTCGCAGAGGAAGGCGCGGCCCGCGGCGAAAGGCGCGTGGGCCACGCCCAGCTGGTCCACGAGCGCGAGCGCCGCCGGAGCCGCGTCGCGGTCCGCGACGGCCGTCGCGAGCTGGCCGACGGGGTCGAGCGTGCAGCCGTACTCGAGGGCCTTGAACTGGCGCGCCGTCGCGACGCTCCCGTCGCAAAAGACGACCGCCGCGCCGTAGCGCACGGGGTGCAGGTCGTCGCGGCCGTCGCCCTTCGCCGCTCCGAGCGCGGCGTCGTAGGCCCGCCGCGCCGGGCCGCCCGTCGGCACCTCGAGCGTGCGCGACAGGGCCCACTCCTTCTGCTCCCGCGCGTTGAGCCGCGCGTAGGGCGACGCGCGCGGAAGCAGCTCCGCGAGGCTCGTCTCGATCCTCACGCGGAGGCCCGGCGACGCCGTGACGACGCGCGTGGCCGGCTCGCAGAAGGGCGACGAGTACATGAACTCGCGGCAGAGCAAACCCGGCGTGATGGGCCGCGACGCGTCGCAGACGATGTAGACGCAGGCGACCTCCGTCGGCGCCCGCGACCGCGCGGCGACGAGCTGGAGCGCCCCGAAGGCGGTGCGCTCCGCGCAGACGCTGTTGCGCAGCGTGTGCGCCTCGATGTTCGTGCCCACGACGTGGCCCCCGCCGACGAGCGTCACGACGGCGACGACGCGGAACGACGACTGCGACGGCGGCGGCAGCGACGCCCGGATGCGATTGGCCAGCGCCAGCCAGGCGTCGTCGGAGTCGTACCAGCGCAGGAACCGCGCCAGCGCGTAGGTCGCCGCCGCGCCGGCCGCGGCCGCCGCGGCGACGCGCAGGCGCTGCGTCGACATGCGACGAGTTCAAGACGCCGCGGCGTGCGCGCAGAGCTTCATGCTCTCCGAGAAATGCAACTGAAAGGAAAGCAACGACGTTGCCCCCACACCTTACCGCACAATTTAACCACGGGTCACCGCTCCTCGTCCTTGACCTCCTCGCCGCCTTCGCTGTCGTCGTCGCTGTCGTCGTCGCCCTCGACGGGGATGTCGAAGAGGCCCGAGGACCCCTGGTTCGTGAGCGGCGGCGGCTTCCGCCGGGGCGCGTCGGGCGAGCCCTCGATGGCCTCGAGCTTCGTCGAGTCCTCGCCGAGGGGCCGGAGCTTCGCGAGGCCGCCGCCGAGGCCGGACTGGAGCTTGTGGTACTGGAGGGCCGCGTTGGGGGGCTTGGAGGCCCGGATCGACTCCTTGACGTGGAGCGACGCCTTGACCGAGGGTTTCACGTCGAGCTTGCCCATGGTCCGCTCCAGGTTCAGCGCCTGGCGGATGAGGCCCTCGATGCTGTTGAGCTTGTGCTTGAAGTCGTCGAGCTGCTTCTCCGTCTTCTCCTGGTAGTGCGCGAGGTCGTGGTGGATCTCCGCGATTTCGGACGCGATGTGGTCGTTCGAGCTCAGCGTGGACGCGGCCGCGAGGTTGCCCTGCATCTTCGCGCGCTTCTTCGCGACGGCGGCGGCCATCTTCTTGCGCGCCATGGAGCCCTGGCGCACGGTGATGGACTGGCGCGTCGACACGTTGTCGACCTGGTTCGCCGCCTTGTTGCTCACGCTGACGTTCGCGTTGAAGAAGAGGCGGTCGAAGGTCGACGTGGCCCGCGAGCCCTGCTGGGACGCCTCCCGCGCCTCCCGCGCCATGCGGACCAGCTGCGACTTGACCGTGTAGAAGGCCGACGCGACCTTGGCGGCCTTGAGCTCGTTCGGGAAGTACTCGAGGATCTGGTAGAGGCCCGCCGCGGACAGGCACAGCACCTCGATGTAGGTCAGCGCGCAGGCGCACGTCGAGTCCGCCAAATCTAAATTCTCCAGCACAAAGTCCTCGCCCCAGACCGTGCCCCGGCTGAAGGGGATGCCGTGGCGCGCGGCGATGCCGCGCCGGAGCACGAAGAGCGTGTGCGCGATGTCGACGACCTCGAGGGGCGCGAAGGTCATGGTGCCGAGGCGCTGGGAGATCTCGACGATGCAGGCCGCCGACGCCTTGCGCAGGTACCAGACGCGGTGGAGCCACATGGCGTTGTTCGCGGCCGCGGCCTCGCCCCGGAGCGCGAACGACATCATGCCCTCGAGCTTGCGGTAGTTGTGGATGCGGAGCTGGTTCCGCGACTGGCGGAAGAAGGTGCGGCAGCGCCGCCGCAGGGACGACGGGTAGCCCCGGTCCTCCATCATGATGTTGAGCTCGTCCATGGACTGGCGGAACTGACTCCCGTAGACGTCGACCGTGGACAGGATCGAGCAGAACGTGCCGATGATGTAGGCCCACAGGATGCCGCCGGCGACGATGAAGACGATGCCGACGACCATTTCCAAACTGTTCGCCGGCGTGAGGTCCCCGTAGCCGACGCCCGTGATCGTGTAGAGCACGAAGTAGAACGCCGCGATGTACGCGTCCGCCATGGAATTCTTCCCGAAGTGGCGCTTCCCGTACTTGTCCTTCTTCGTCTCCGACAGCGCGTCGAGCCAGGTCCACTTGGACGACGACCGCGCCGTCGCGCAGATGCCCCAGAGGCAGGCCATCCAGTGCGCGACGAGCAGGAACATGCCCGCGAGCTTCATGATCGTCAGGTGCGCGTAGGAGATGGAGATCATCGACTCCCAGCGCGTGAGGATGCGCGACGCCCGCAGCACCCGCGCGAGCTTGAGCAGCCGCAGCAGCCGGATCAGGCGGATCGTGCGCAGCGACGACAGCCAGGACCCGCCCTGCGCGTAGAGCTGGAGCACGTCGATGGGCACGGAGCTCAGCACGTCGATGATGAACCAGGACTGCACGTAGCGCTTCGCGATCTGCTTGCGGCTGCGGATGAGCATGTTGCCCCGGTGCTCGTCGAGGTAGGCGAGGTCGAACTGGACGAAGATGTCCATAACGAAGACCGCGTCGATGACGCGGTTGCTCCAGAAGAGGCCCGTGCCCGGCCGCACCTCCGCGCCCCCGAAGCCCACCTCCACGGGCGTCACGATCGACGTGTAGAGCAGGCAGAAGACCGTGAGGCCGTCCCAGGAGCGCATGGTCGCGCTCGTCGGGTCGAGCGCGCTCGACGCGTCGCTCCGGAGCCGCGCGCGCATGGCCTCGATCTCCTCGCCGAGCTTCGCGTCGAAGCCCTCGCGCACGCCGTTGATCGTCTTCGGGGCCGGGCGCTCGTCCTCGACCTTGTAGGACTTCTTGCCGCGCTTGGCGGCGCGGCGGCCCTTCATGCGCTGCGTCTTGCCGAGCTTGAGGCTCAGCTTGTCCTTGATCGTGTTCCGCTCCTCGTCCGTGAACCAGAGGCTCCGCCAGTTGCGCGTCTTCTCCCTCGGCTTCCCCATGGCCGCGTTCAGGGAAGAAGCCGCTCAGGACGGCGGACGATCTCCCAACATATGGAGTATATATGTTTGGGGCAGCGCCGGGCCAAAGCCGGTTTCATGATATTTGCAGTTATATATGTTTGGGGCTGCAGCCGGGCCCGCCGGGGGTCGATGCCTTTACTCGAGGTCGCCGCGGATGGGGAAGAGGCGGACGCTCGTGGCGCCCGTCGGCGAGTGCTCCTCGGCGTGGGCGCCGCCCCCGCTCGCCGGCACGGCGCCGAAGAGGAAGGCGACGCCGCCGTGGGGCGCGTGGCGCGTCCCCAGGACCATCTCCCGGGGCGCGAGGAAGAGGAAGGCCGACGCCCGCTTCGACGCCGGGCCCTCGGGCCAGGGCCCGTCCTCGAGCGGTCTCCAGCGGCCGCGGAGCGCCGCCGCGGCGTTCGCCGGCATCTCCGCGGGCTCCCCGAACGTGAGCTGCGCGTCGTGCTGCTTCGCGGCGTCGTCGTGCCGCTCGAAGCTCGCGACGGACAGGACGTCGCCCTGGAGCCCGAGCCAGGCGAGGCCGCCCCGCGCCAGGGGACCCGCGCCGCCGCGCGCGTCGACGTACGCGAAGAAGACGGCGCCGTCGGGGCAGCCCGTCGCGCGGCGGCTCTCCGGCGAGAGCGCCAAAACGTGCGGCGCGCTGCCCCGCGCCTCCTCGCCGCCGGCCAGGCGCAGCACGAGCCGCCCGGCGCCGTCGAGGCGCGCCTCCGTTGGCGCGTCGACCCAGGGCGCGACGCCCACGGGTCCCAGGCGCTCGGGGAACCGCGCGAAGGGGTCCGCGGGTTCCACGGTGTGCGCGAAGCGCCGCCGCAGCGCCGCGAAGTCGCCCGAGTTGTCGACGGCCTCCACCGCGTCCAGGGACGGCGGCGCGCCGTCGACCTCGTTCGACATGCGCGCCAGGAAGTCGACGTGGGGCGTCAGCAGCCGCAGCGACGCGTCCGGCGCCGCCAACGAGTCGAGGAAGAGCGCCTCCGGGATCGCGCGGCCCGTGCGCTCCGCGCGCGCCTTCGCCCGCCGCCGCGCCGTCGCCTCGGAGCAGGTCACGTAGAAGATCGCGAGGCGATAGTGCGGATACCGCTCGCGCCTGCGGCGAGGGATGCTCGGGCCGGCGTCTCTCGCGCGATTCCCCCGGGACGCCGGCGCGCGCAGGTCCGCCATGACCTGCGCGTAGTAGGGGCCGTCGCGGAGGCTGCCGTCGACCCAGACGTGCTGCGACTGCTGCATGGCGACGTCCTGCGTGAGCTCCGCGAGGAGGCCCGACTCGCGGTGGCAGCGCGTGCCCGCGGACCGCGGGTCGCGCGCGACGTAGCCGGGCCACTCGGGCATGAGCTGCTTGAAGAGGTCCGGGTCCACGTGGACGATGTTCTCCAACGGAAAAAAGCCGTGCTCGCTGAGCCAGGAGAGCGCGTGGCCCTTGCCCGCGCCCATGGGCCCGCAGGTGAAGACGACCCAGGGCCGCCGCTGCGGCTCGGTGCGCACGGCGATGGACTCGACGATGCCGTTCTGCCACTTTTCGCGCGCCGCGGCGTAGTGGCCGTGGTAGCCCGCGTCGACGAGCGCGCGCGCGGCGGCGACGGCCGGCGACGCGTCGACGGCCGGCGCGGCGTCGGCCCGGTAGTTGTCGCGCGTGGACCCGTCGTAGTCGTAGCCCGCCGGCACGGCGAACGCGTTCGCGTCGCCGTCGCGGTCGCAGCGGTCGTCGACGTAGGCGGCGACGATGCGCCGCAGCAGGCGCCGCCGCCGCACGGCGCGCTCGAAGGCCGCGAAGCTCACGGCGCCCGTCCGCTGGAGGTCGACCTGGCGCCAGACGCGCCGGCACTCCGCGGGCGACAGGTTGAGGCGGAGCACGGCGGCGAGGGCGACGAACTCGCGCTCCGTGATGGAGTCGCCGCCCTCGGCGATGGCGTCGAAGACGTGCCGCAGCTCCGCGTGCGCGTCGGACGCGCCGAGGCCGGGCGAGGGTTCGCGGAGCGAGTCGGCGACGCGGCTCGCCATGCGCTCGCACAGACTCGCGCGCACGGACGCCTCGGACTCGCGCGCGTCGACGGCGTCGTCGGCGTCGTCCGCCGCGCCCATGGTCGACAGGCGCCGCAGCGCGCGCTGCGCGCCGGACATGGGCGACTCCTGCCGCGGGCCGCCGAAGACCTCGCGGCCCTCGTCGTCGCCGAAGGCCGGCGCTTGCGTCTTCATGCGCCGGAAGGACCGCGCCTTCTCGAGCCGGATCGGCGGCGGCGGCCGCGGCGGCGGGTCCGCGAAGAAGACGCCCATGCTCTCGATGCCAGGGCTGCCCAGACTCCGACAGATAACTTTCTTGAAGTTAAGGTGCTCTTCAAGCTTCGATCGCCTGTGGCAGCTCTCGACGCGCGCGCGCCGCAACGCACGAGCGCCGCAACGCACCATGGTCTACGTGAGCGGCGATGGCACGATCTACCGCGCGCGGTCGCCCCGGTCGCGCTGGCGCTGGAAGGAGACGGGCGACCGCATCGCGTCGACGGTGCAGTGGCAGCTCCACTCCCTGCTCGCCGTCCTCGTGATCGCCATCGCCGCCGCCATGTGCTCCGTGCCGACGGTCCAGGACTTGAGGGAGCACCGCGTGCGCGAGGACGGCCTCTGGTTCGCGCCGGCGATCGACAAGCACCGGTCGCTCGGCGTCTGCGCCGTCGCCGAGGTCGCCGTGGGCGGGAAGCCCACCTGGCACGTCGGCGCCTATGGGGCCTGGGTCGCGCTCCGCGGCGGCGCGCTGCTCCGGGGCGCGGCCGCCGACGACGCGACGCTGCTCGTCGCGCTCATCGTCGCGGGCTTCGCGCTCCACGCGCTCGGCCTGCCGTCGCGGGGCTGGCTCCGGCGCCACTGCGCGGCGAGCGCGGCGAACGCGCGGAGCGGCCGCGTCTGGTGCCTCGTCCTCGCGGCGCTGGCCCACGAGGACGCGCTGCACCTGAGCATGAACGGCCTGGCGCTCGGCCGCGCGGCGCCGCGGCTCGCGGAGCGGCTCGGGGACCGGTCGCTCTTCTGGGCGTTCGTCGGCGCCGCCGCGGCCGCGAGCTCGGTCGCGTCCATCGTCCTCAACGCGCTCCTCCGCGGCTACTCGGAGACGCGCGGCGCGTCGGGCGTCCTCTTCGCCATGCTCGCCTTCGAGGCCGCGCGCGCGCCGCACGCGACGACCGCATTCTACGGCGTCCCGGGGCTGGAGATGCCCGCGTCGACGGCGATGCTCTGCTCCCTCGCGCTCGACGCGCTGGTCCGACGACGGAGCGGCGTCGACTTCGCCGCGCACCTCGGCGGCGCGGCCTTCGGCGCGGCGTTCTACCAGTGGCGGGTTGGACGGTGCGCCGCGGGCGCCGGGCTTTTCTCCCCCTGGCGGTGCTAACTAGACGTGCTGTAGGAGCGAGTTCCGCCGCCGCGGCGGGTCCTTGGACGGGAGCCGGACCGTCGGCGGCTTGCGGTACTTGTCGCGGAGCGCCGCGGGCATGGGCGTGGGCTCGCGCTCGAGGTCCGGCGGCGCGGACTGGTCCGACGCGTCGTCGGATTGCGCGGGCCGCTGGACCATGGACGCGCGCGGGTTCCGCACGAGGAAGGCCGGCGTCGACGTGGACCGCTGGAGCATGGACGTGCGCTGGAGCACGGACGCGCGCGCGGGCCGGTCCGCCGTGGACAGCGTCGGCCGCTGGATGAGCGACCGGCGGCTCCGGTTCGTGAGCGTCGCGCGGCGCGCCTGCTCGGCGACGCGCTCGTCGTTGCCCGCGCGCGCGTAGGACCGCCGCGCCTCCTGGATCTCCGTGAGGCCCTTCTCGCGGATCGTGAGCCGCTGCGTCTTGCGCCGCTCCGACATCTTCTGTGCGCGCTCGAGCATGTCGAGGACGTCGTCGAGGTGCCGCGCGCCCTGGGACTTGGCGATGTCGAGGAAGTGGGAGAGCCAGACGGGCGCGGGCACGCAGACCTCGCCGTCGTGCTGGAGCGCCGCGCCGCCCTTGAGCACCTGCTCCTTCTCCGCGGCCGCGTCGTCCTCGCACTCCTCGTAGAGCTCGGGCACGCGCAGGTGCTCCGACGCCTTGATGCCCGCGACGGCCACGAGGCCCTTGAGCGCCTCGAGCTTGACGCGCTTGACGACGTCCTTCGTGTTGTCCGGCGGCTTCGGCGGGTCGCTGGCCGCGCTCGCGTCGCCGAGGCGCTCGAAGACGCGGTCGATGCGGTGCACGGCGATGCCGCCGGCGCGCTCGAGGAGCTCCTCGCGGTCGTGGCTCACCTGCTTGGACGCCGCGGTGCTGAGGCTCTTCTTGTCGTCGTCCTTGGACTCGTCGCCCGACGCCTCCGTCTCCTTGGTGTGGTCGTCGTCGTCGCCGCCGTCGCCGTCGTCGTCGCCGTCGCCGGCGGGCGCGTCGCCCGCGTCGAGCGCCGCGAGCTTCTGGCCCATCTGCTTGAGGCGGCTCAGCTCGTCCTCCTTCTGCTGGGCCTCGAGGGCCTGGATCGCCGCGACGTCGCCCGCCAAGATGGAGTTGCGCCGGATCTGGTCCTCGACTTGCGCGCGGCGCATCGTCGCCACGTTGACGATCGTGCTCCGCCAGCGCGCGGCCGCGGCGTCGTAGGCCGCGCTCGGCTTCTCGCCGCCGTCGCCGCCCGGCGACGGCGGCTTGCGGAACGACGCGGCCCGGCTCACGCGGCGCTGCGGGGACGCCGCGGGCGCCGAGGCGCCGCCGGACTCGGACTCGCGGCGCTCGTTCGCCTGCCGCGCGCGCCGCCGCCAGCGGATCGCGAGCATCAACGCGGACGCCGTCGACGAGAAGGCGTCGCCGTCCTGCGCGTCCTGGAGGTGGCGCGTGAACGTGCGGAACGTCTCGAGCACCCTGTCCGCGGCCGACGGGATCGCCGCCGCGAGCCGCGACAGCTCCGTCGCGTAGCGCACGTCGCCGCGGACCGCGACGACGGACGCGCGGCGCCGCGGCGCCGCGGGCGCGGGCGCGGGCGCGTCGGCCCCGTCGGCGTCGGGGGGTCTCTGGCGCGCCTCCTCGCGCTCCTTCAGGGCCGTCTCGAGCTCGCCGACGCGCGTGAGCGCCGCGTCCGCGAGCGGCTGCACGCGCGCGAACAAACGCCGCGTCGCCGCGACGGCGTCGCGCACGTCCTCCGGCGGCAGGCGGCTCGCCAGCGGCGGCAGGGGCGGCGACTCCTCGTCGGCGCTGAAGGCCAGCAGCGAGACGATGGCGTCCTGGAGGTCGCAGGCCCGCTCCTGCAGTTCCTCGGCGAACGCGACCGCGGGCGCGGCGGCCGCGCGGCCGCTCTCCTCGCCGTCGTCGAGGGCTTTTGTTAATAACGGTAACCCGGCGCTCAGCATGGACACGTGCGTCGTGAGGAAGCGGCGCACGTGGGCCTCGGACTCGCGGACCTTGACGCTCTGCGGCGCGAGGTGCGACGCGGACCCGGGCGCCTGCGCGCGGCTCCGGAGCACGGCCATGGACGCGACGCGCGCGAGGCTCAGCCGCTTCGGCGCGGCGCCGTCGACGGCGGCGAGCTGCCGCGCGCGCTTCATCGTCAGCTTCCAGCGCGCGCGGTTGACCCGGCTCGACTCGTCGTCGGGCGTCTCGCCGTCGTCGGACGTCCGCGCGGTCGACGCGCCGCTCCGCGCCGTCGGCGTCCCGTCGGCGTCGTCGTCGTCGTCCGGGGACCCCTCGTCGTCGTCGCTCTCGGGCCGCGTCGGCTCGGGCGGCGTCGCCGGCGGCGGCGTCTCCGGCCGCGGCGGCGCCGCGCCGACGAGCTCCCGCGCGGCCGCCGTCAGCGTCAACGCCGGCGACCCGTCGGCCCAGGACACGTCGTAGTGCCTCGGGCGCACGGTCTCGAGCATGAGCGGCTTCTCGACGCCGAGCTCCGCCGCCGTCGCGAAGGCCGGCCCGTTGAGCGACGGCCGCCCGGGCTCGTCGTCGTCCCGCGGCTCCTCGGGCTCGGGCGGCGGCGGCTCCGAGAGCCGCCGGCTCGCGTCGAAGCCCTCGAGCCAGGGCGGGATGCGCCGCAGGCGCCGCTCGCGGCCGCCGCGCTTGTTCGCGTAGTCCCAGTAGCCCGGGTCCTCCGCGTGCCAGAGCGCCTTGATGGCCTTGGCGTGGTAGCGGAACTGCGCGCCGTCGAGGCGGCCGCCGCGCGACAGCACGGCCGTCTCCGCGCCGGGCCGCAGCGTCTCGCTCAACCGCCAGGCCGGCGGCGCGCTCGCGAAGGGCGTGTCGAGCATGCGCGCGATCTCCAGCGTCACGGACTTGGCCGCGACGTCCGCCAGGGCGCTCTGGCTCGCCGCGTCCTTGACGGCGAGCGTGACGGCCGAGCGCTCGAGCATGGCCTTTTGCTTGCGGAGCGTCGCGAGCGGCACATTTAAGCGCGACTGGCGCGGCAGCTCCGACGTGCGCATCGTCGCGTAGGGGGCTGCCTACAACATCGTCGCGCTGGGGGCTGCAACCAATCCTTCCATGTATCTCGACGAGTTGGCGCTTGATTCCACGCGTTAGAATTTAATTTTGTTGCACGGCAGATGGCAAAATGGACAGTGCTGGTATATGTGTGAGCGGTGCGGGTGGCTCGTGAGTCGTGCGGCTGGGGTTGGGGTTGTTACGTGCGTGCCGGTGGTGGGCGGGGGGGAAGGGGAAGAGGAGGTTGTTCCTCTGTGGCGAAACGCGACGACAAAAACCCCCGGCGAGAGGTTCGCTGCGAGAGCCTCGCGAGTAAACCACTCCGCCGCCGTCGCCGCCAATCGAAGTCGAATGCGCGTCTCGGCGTCCATTCAAACACCCGCCGCGCGCGCGCCGCCTCCCCGGCGCCCTCCGGGTGTCGCCTGAGAGACGAGACGAACGTCGAAGGCGCGAGGTTCTGCCGTTCCCGTCGAAGATCGCTCCGATACTTTCGGGTGTTCTCGCGGCTTCCGAGGCCGCGCGGCGGCGCCGTCCGCCCGCGCCGCCCCCCGGGGCCGCCCTCGGCGCCCCCGCGCGCCCCCTGCGGCCCTCGCGTCGCTCGTGGACCGCCGAAACTCACCTCGCCGTCCCGCGCCGCAGATCCACCATGCCTGAGTACGACATCTCCGCCTCGCTCGACGCGCTCCTCTCCAAGTCCTGGGACGACGTCCTCGCGGAGAACCCCAAGTTCAAGCAGGCGACGGAGAACTGGGGTCCGCCGCCGCGTCCGAAGGCGCGCGATCGTTCGGGCGCGCGGCGCGCCGCGGCGCGCGGCGCGCCGCGGAATTCCGAGGATCCGCCGCGCGCCGCGCGCCGCGCGGGGCACGTCGAACGCCGCCGGCCGGTCCGCCGCGCGCCCGCCGGCTCCCCGGCCCGCCGCGGCCCGCCGGTCGCGTTCCGCGGCGCCCCGTCGCGCGCGGCCGGCCGCCCCGACGCGCCCGTTCGAATCGCCCCGCGCCGGCGCCGCGGCTCACCCCGTCGTCCCCTCCAGGCGCGCAGACCGCGGCCAACTACAAGTCCGTCTGGAAGCCCGAGTCGAAGCCGTCCCTGTCGTCCCACCTCACGGGCTACATCAACGACGGCAAGTTCGAGGCGTCGTCCCTCGTCCCCAAGTCGGGCTAGGCGCGCCCGGCGACCCGGTGCGGCATCTCCCCGAACAGCGCGTCAACGTTTTGCGGCCGCCCCGACGGACAAGTAGACCCCGTCCGGCCGGCCGTTCGCCGCGATATGCGTCCACGCAGGACGCGTCGCGGTGTGGAGCGCCCGCTCTGTAAACCGCGACGCCGCTCGCAAGGTCGAGGGCGCCCACCACCACCGTCCCACGCCACTCTATACACAGAAAAAAGCTAGTCTCGCGTGATCGACCGGGGAGGGCTGGTTCCTCCGCTGCCCTGAGCGGCGGCGTCTAGGCCGCCGCGCGCGGCCGACCGCGGCGGCCGCCAAAGTTTGAATTCCCAGCGCGCGCTTCCAATCGAGTTCCTGCGAATAGATCCGCGTTCAACGTAGCATCGCGGATCTGCATCTGGCAGCATCGAAGCTTCAGCGAGGCGAATTACCACAAGGTTTTGGGAGCTGGGTTTGGGCATCTGGGGCAGGCGGCTGCCCGTCGCGAGGGAGGTCACCCGGCACCAGCAGCACGCCCAGCGCGTCCAGAAGACGCACACCACCAAAAAGAACGCACGCACGAATCGCCACAAGGGATGCAGCCGCCGCAGCTGGCCCTGGTCGCCGGCGCCCTCGCCGCCACGGTGGCTGTCGCCGCGTCGCTCTACGCGCGATCGAGAAAACGGCGGGACGACGACGAGGAGGAGGACGGGGGCGTCGCGCGGCACGTCTACCGCATCGTGCTCACGGGCGGCCCCTGCGCGGGGAAGACGACGGCGCTCGCGCGCCTGAGCGGCTACCTCCAGGAGCGCGGCTTCCGCGTCTACATGATCCCCGAGATGGCGACGGTCATGTTCACGAACGGCGTCGCGTTCAGCGACCTGTCGAGCGACGCCGCCGTGCGGACCATGCAGCGCGCGATCCTCGACGGGCAGCTGACGCTCGAGGACGGCTTCGCGCGCATCGCGGCCGAGACGCGCGCGCCGGCCGTGCTCTTGTGCGACCGCGGCGCCATGGACGGGTCGGCCTACATGCGGCGGGAGCTCTGGCGGGACCTGCTCCGGGGCTACTTCCCGCGCGGCGCGAGTCTGGAGCGCGCGGAGCGGACGCTCTGCGAACGCTACGACGCCGTCTTCCACCTCGTGACGGCCGCGGACAGCGCGGAGCGCTTCTACACGCTGGAGAACAACGCGGCGCGCACGGAGTCGCCCGAGGACGCGCGGGCCCAGGACTCGGCGACGCAGCGTGCGTGGGCCATGCACCCGAAGCAGATGGTCTTCGACAACTCGTCGGGCGAGCTCGGCTTCGAGGGCAAGCTCGAGCGCGTCGTCGACGCCGCGGCGAAGATCGTCGGGCTGCCCGTGCTCCCCAAGTCCGTGCGCAAGTTCGTGCTCGACGCGGAGCTGCCGCCCGCGGCGACCTTTGAGGCCGCGGGCGTCGACCTGACGACGTTCTCCGTGACCAAGGTCTTCCTCCAGCAGACGCCGCGGAAGCCCCGCACGTCCCACCTCTCGCACGCCCTCCCGGAGGAGGAGAGCTCCTACGACTGCCACGCCTACGTGCGCGTGCGCACGTCCGTCGAGGGCGCCGCGTCCTACGGCTACGTCGAGGTCTTGCGCGAGGAGGCGGGCGACGGCCAGATCCACGAGCGCAAGCGGCGCATCCTGCGGCGCGAGTACGAGGCGCACCTCGCGACTGCGGACCCGCGGCGGAAGCCCATCGCCCAGCGGCGGCTCCACTTCCTCTACGGGAACCAGTCCTTCGTCGTCCACCAGTACGTCGACCGCGACTTGGCGATCCTCCACTGCCAGGCCGCGCGGCCCGACGGCTCCATCGACTTCCCGCCCTTCCTCAAGGTCGGCCCGGAGATCCACGACAGCCAGGACCGCGAGCACTTCTCCGCCTACGACCTCGCGCTCGACAAGCCGTCCTCGCCGAGCCGCGGGACCTACCGCAAGTCCCTCTCGCCGCCGAGCTCGCCGAAGACGTCGCCCACGGCCAAGAAGACGCCCGCGGCCTAGGCGCGGTGCTCTTAGGAGTCGCCTCGCTCTTCCCGGGTCTCTAGCCGCGGCGCCGCTTCTTGTCCGCGTGGCCGCCGGCGCGAAGTGGTCCGCGCGCGTGCTGGCACTTGTGCTGGCCAAGGAAGCTGGGAATAACTAGGCGCGCGCTAACTTGAAGCTGTCCTAAAAGCAGCGGAGACGATGCCCGACGCGATGACCACCGTGACCGTGCGTCGGTCGGACACGGGCCGGTCGGCGCGGCTGCGCTGGTACGGCGTCGGCCGGGCCGGCTCCGTGGAGCGCGCCGTGCGGTCGAGCCTCGGCTTCGAGACGGCCGCGGTGGTGTACGGCGACGGCAGCCCCGTCGTCCTCGGCGGCGGGTCCGGCGATCCCGCGGCCATCGACCTGCTGGACGAGCTCGGCAACGCCGTCGACGTGGCGGCGGTCAAGGACGGCGCGTCCCTCGTCGCGCGCGCGAAGCGTGTTGTCGGCGGCGCGGGCAAGGACCGGAGCCGGTCGCTGCTCCGAAGCCTCGCGAGGGAGGTCCTCGAGGCCTGGCGGAGCCTGAGCGCGCCGGACGACCTCACCGTCGGCGGCGCCGACGGCGCCGACGACCCGTCGCCCCGCGGCGACTGGAACGACCCCAAGTTCCAGCAGACGCTGTTAGACGTGGAGCGCGCGCGGAGCCACCTCGCGAACGAGCGCAACATCTTGGCCTGGACGCGCGCGGCGCTCACCTTGGCGTCCCAGGGCATCGTCATCTGGAAGCTCTACGCGTCGGCGTCGGCCCACAGCCTCATCCGGCCCTACCTCTACGCGACGGGGGCCCTCGTGTTCCTCACGACGCCGTTCACCATGCTCCTGGGCCTCCACCGCTGGTCGGGCACGAAGCGCGCGCTCAGCTCCCAGAGCGGCGCCGAGGCCATGGACCACTTCGGCAAGCTGGGCGTCGAGGTCCAGGCCGCGAACGTCGCCGTCGTCCTCTTCGCCGCGGCCGCGGCCTACGTCGTCGTCGGCGCCGACGACTCCGTCGGCGCCGACTTCCGGATCTCGTCGCGCATCTTCGACTAACTTACTCGGCGAAGAGGTCCCTGACGGCGTCGGGCGGCGCGCGCGGCCGGCCCGTCTCCGCGTCGACGCAGACGCACGTGATCCGCGCGCGCGCGGCGGGCGCGCCGCCGACGGCGACGGCCTGGTCGAAGACGATGCGCGTCCGCGCGAGCGTCACGTCCGCGAGGACGTCCACCTCGGCCCCGAGGGCGACGTCGACGGGCTTGAAGCGGAGCTCGTCCACGAGCGCGACGACGACGATGACGCCCGAGTCCTGCAGCGCCGCGAGCCCCGCCGGCCCGCCGAGGAAGGTCGACCGCGTCCGCTCGAAGGCGCGCAGGCACGCGTCGAGGCTGAGGCTGCCGTCGCTGTAGGCAGCCGCGGTCTTCCCGTCGCGGCCGTCGAGGTCGTCGTGGCGCGCGACGTGGACCGCGGCCGCGCGGACGCCGCCCTCCGGCGGCGCGGCCCCGAGCGCGGCGACGGCGACGTCCGCCGTCGACGTCGTCGCGGTCATGAGCGCGTCGCCGCCGCGGAGGATGCGCTGGTCGAAGCGGCCGTCGTCGCGACGCGTCGTCGCGACTTCCAGCGAGTCGCCGAGCTTCGCGGGCTTGGCGTACTTCATGCCGTCGACGGCGCGCAGGCGACCGGGCAGGCCGTACTCGAAGAACTTGAAGTAGTTGGCGTAGAAGACGACCTGGAACGCGTCCGTCGACTCGATGAAGACGTCGACCGCCGTCGTCGTCGTCGCGACGGCCGCGGCCTCGGCGGGGGCGGCCTCGGCGGGGGCGGGGGCGGGGGCGGGGGCGGCCTCGGCGGCCTCGGCGGGGGCGGCCTCGGCGGCCTCGGCGGGGGCGGCCTCGGCGGCCTCGGCGGGGGCGGCCGCGGCCTCGGCGGGGGCGGCCGTGGCGGTGGCGTGATCGGAGAGCCAGGCGGCCCCCTCGGCCGAGGAGAGCCAGGCGACTCTGGCTCTGGCTCTGGCCTGCTCGTACTTGGTTGGGCCCTTTCCGACAAGGCCCACGGTTGGCGCGGTGTGGCTCGTCGAGCCATCGGCCGCGGCCTTGGCGGGGGCAGCCGTGGCCGCGGCGGACTCGGCGCGACGACGGCGACGCTGCTGCGCAGCCTGCGCGATTCCGGGCCCGAGATCGAGCCAGGCGGCTCTGCGCTCCGCCTGCTCGGACTTGTCTGGACCCGGGCCCTTGATGAGGCCAGCGGTGTTCGCGCCGCCCACGGCCTCGGGCTTGTCCTGCGTGAAGGCCTCCAGGGACGCGGCGACGCGGCCGCCGAGCGGCGGCACGTGGCCCTTGACGTTCTCGCCCGCCGGGGCCGAGCCACCGGCCGCGGCCTCGGCGGGGGCGGCCGTCGCCGCGGGTTCGGCCGTGGCGGCGGCGGAACCGGAGAGCCAGGCGGCTCTGCGCGCCGCCTGCTCGGACTTGCTTGGGCCCTTTCCGACAAGACCCGCGGTTGGCGCGGTGTGACTCGTCGAGCCACCGGCCGCGGCCTTGGCGGGGGCGGCCTTGGCCGCGGCGGAAGCGGCGCGACGACGGCGACGCTCCTGCGCAGCCTGCGCGATTCCGGGCCCGAGATCGAGCCAAGCGGCTCTGCGCTCCGCCTGCTCGGACTTGTCTGGACCCGGGCCCTTGATGAGGCCCGCGGTGTTCGCGTTGGGCATCGAGCCATCGGCCGCGGCCTTGGCGGGGGCGGCCGTCGCCGCGGGGGCGGCCGTCGCCGCGGGTTCGGCCGTCGCCGCGGGTTCGGCCGTCGCCGCGGGGGCGGCCGTCGCCGCGGGGGCGGCCATGGCGGCGGCGCGACGTCGGCGACGCTGCTGCGCAGCCTGCAGGAGTCCGGGTCCGACATCGAGCCAGGCGGCTCTGCGCTCCGCCTTCTCGGACATGCTCGGGCCCGGGCCCTTGACGAAGCCCGCGGCGGCCCCCCAGTGGCTCGTCGAGGCACCGGCCGCGGCCTTGGTGGGGGCGGCCGTTGCCGCGGGGGCGGCCGTCGCCGCGGGTTCGGCCGTCGCCGCGGGTTCGGCCGTCGCCGCGGGTTCGGCCGTCGCCGCGGGTTCGGCCGTCGCCGCGGGGGCGGCCGTTGTCGCGGGGGCGGCCGTGGCGGCGGCGCGACGTCGGCGACGCTGCTGCGCAGCCTGCGCGATTCCGGGCCCGAGATCGAGCCAGGCGGCTCTGCGCTCCGCCTTCTCGGACATGCTCGGGCCCGGGCCCTTGACGAAGCCCGCGGCGGCCCCCCAGTGGCTCGTCGAGGCACCGGCCGCGGCCTTGGTGGGGGCGGCCGTTGCCGCGGGGGCGGCGGAACCGGCGGCGGAACCGGCGCGACGTCGGCGACGCTGCTGCGCAGCCTGCGCGTGTCCGGGCCCGAGGTCGAGCCAAGCGGCTCTGCGCTCCGCCCGCTCGGACATGGACATGCTTGGACCCGGGCCCTTGACGAGGCCCGCGGTGGACGCCACGGGGCTCATCGGGTCACCGGCCGCGGCCTTGGCGGGGGCGGCCGCGGCCGCGGGGGGCTGCTCGGCGGCCGACTGCTCGCCGAGGCCGGCGAGCTGCGTCGCCGTCGCCGTCGCCGCGCGCGCGGCCACGGCCAGCGCCGCGGCCTCCTCCGCGCTCAACACCACGGGCACGTCCGCGTTGTCCGGGAGCAACGCCGGTTCGGACGAGTCGCCCCCGGCCTCGGGCTTTTGCGTGAAGGCCTCCAGGGACGCGGCGACGCGGCCGCCGAGCGGCGGCACCGCGGCCTCCTCCGCACTCAACACCACGGGCACGTCCGCGTTGCCCGGGAGCAACGCCGGTTCGGACGAGTCGCCCACGGCCTCGGGCTTCTGCGTGAAGGCCTCCAGGGACGCGGCGACGCGGCCGCCGAGCGGCGGCACCGCGGCCTCCTCCGCACTCAACACCACGGGCACGTCCGCGTTGCCCGGGAGCAACGCCGGTTCGGACGAGTCGCCCACGGCCTCGGGCTTGTCCTGCGTGAAGGCCTCCAGGGACGCGGCGACGCGGCCGCCGAGCGGCGGCACGTCGCCCGCCGGGGCCGAGCCACCGACCGCGGCCTCGGCGGGGGCGGCCGTCGCCGCGGGTTCGGCCGTGGCGGCGGCGGAACCGCCCGCGGTGGACGGTGGGCGCCTACTCGAGCCACCGGTGTCCTCGACGACCGCCGCGGCCGCGCGCGTGGGAAGGCGGTAACGAGGAACGGCGGCATGTAGGGCAAGGCATTCAAATGAGTGCGCCCAGAGCGCAGCGCAACCAAGAATTCGCACAATTCGAGCAGCCATCGCGGCGAACAGATCGAACGTCACTACTGCTCGTGATGGGCAACAGTAGCTAAAACGCCTGCCGGCACGATGGGCAGCCCGGCGCACCGGCTGGACCCTCCGCGCATGGAGCTACCGACGCGGGAGGCAGAGGCGCTCTCTCGCGATGGCCTGCTCGACGAGGCCGCGGCGGCGCCCTCCGACGACGACGTCGAGCCACACGCCGAGGCGCCGCCCTCCGACGACGACCTCTGCGACGGGACGGATTTCTCCGACGACGGCGCCACCGACGACGACATCTCGAGGGTGCATTTCGACGACGACGGCGCCGGCGGCGAGCTCGTGTCGAGCCTCAGCATGATCCAGCTCGACGTGTCGCCGTCGCGGTCGTCGTGGTCCGCGTGCCCGACGCGGCTGCTGCGCGACACGCACACGACGGGCGACGGCGACGCGGAGACGCCGGCGCCGCGGAGGAGCCGCGACGAGGCCGTCGCCGACGCCCTGCGGCGCGCGCGGCGCGAGGGCCGGCGCCAGCGCTTCCGCGTCTCCTGCACGACGGGCGTCCTCGGCGCGGCCGCGACGGGCGCCGGCTGCCTCTTGGTGGTGACGCAGAGGGTCGCGTCCGACGCGTGGTACGCCGGCGGCGTGAGCCTCACGCCGGGCCTCGTCTGCTTCCTCCTCGCCGTGCGGCCCTGCGACCGGCGCGCCGTCGTCGCCGTCGCCTACGTCGCGGCGACGGTCGCGCTCATGTGCTGCGTGGTGTCCGTCGCCGAGGCCGCGCGCCACGGCGGCGGCGGCTGCGACGCGCGGGACGAGGCGGACCCGTGGTACTGCGCCGCGTTCCTCGTCGCCTGGTGGGCGGCGCTGGCGGTCGTCGCGGCGGAGGCGGGCGTCGCCGCGGCGCGGTCGGCGCGGCTCCGCGGCGGCGCGCTGGCCGCGGTCTGGCGCGTCGTCGGCCGCGCGGCGCTCGAGCTCGGCGCGCTGCTGGTCGTGGACCGCGTCGTCGGGATCGTCGCCGGCGCCTACGACCCGGCCCGGTCGTCGCCGCGGCAGGCGGCCTGGTTCGCGGCCGTGCCGCTCGAGCTCCTGGTCGTCGGCTGCGCGACGCGGCGCGACGCGTTCCGGTCGACGGTCCACGCGTTTTTAGCGTCCCGCGACGAGCGGTCGCGGGTCGCGGCCGTCGTCGCGGGCCTCATGCACGGGAGCGACCCGGACGTCGTCCGGGCCGCGGCGACGCGCCAACTTCGGGCCGTGTCCCTCGCGGACGTCGCCTACGAGGACTTCGTGCCGACGCCCGCGGCCGCGGGCCCGGCGCGGGACGCGTCCGTCGGCGCCAAGTTCGGCGAGATCGACGCGTTCCTGTCCCACTCCTGGAGCGACCCCGTCGACGCAAAATGGCGCGCGTTGCAGGCCTGGCGGCGCCGCTTCAAGCGGAGGCGCGGCCGCGAGCCCCTCGTCTGGATCGACAAGTACTGCATCCGCCAGGGCGCCGACATCTCCGAGCAGCTCGCCGTGCTGCCGATCTTCTTAGCGGCCTGCGACCGGCTCCTCGTGCTCAAGGGCCCGACGTACCTCGACCGGCTCTGGTGCGTCATGGAGCTCTTCGTCTTCTTCGCCATGGGCGCGCCCCTGTCGAAGATCGACCTGCGGCTCCTCGACGAGCCCCGGCCGGCGGAGGGCGGCGACGACGAGTCCAAGGACGAGGAGCGGCCGAGCGCGGCGAGCCGCCGCCGCGCGTCGTCGGCCGCCGAGAGTTTGCGCGCGTCGCTCGCGGCCTTCGACGTGCGGTCTACGGCCTGCCGGGGCGAGGCGACGCGCGACGCGCTCCTGGGCATCATCGAGTCCGGCTTCGGCTCCCACGGCGCCTTCGACGACGCGCTCGCGGCGACGCTCCACCACGTCCACGCGCGCCGGGAGCTCCGGTCGCTCCGGTCGCGCGCGACGCCCGAGCCGTCGACGGCGCGGTCGCGGCGCCCGAGCCTGGCCACGACGCGCGGCGACGCCGACGACCCGTCGACGTCGAGCCTCGACAGCGCGAGCAGGACGCCGCGGTCCTCGTGGTGGCGCCTCGGCTCGAGCAAGCACCGCTTCGTCTTCAAGGCGTCGTCGCAGCGCGGCTCCCAGCTCGCGCTGTCGTCCTCCGAGTCCCGCGCCCCCGTCCGCGGGAACCTTACGACCTAGCCGAGGAGCTGCTCGTCCGTGGGGCCGTCGCCGGGCTTCTCGTTCATGCGGTCGATGAGCTCGTTGAGCTTCTCCTCCTTGCGCTTCTCCGAGGACAGGACGAGGAGCGCGAGCTGCTCGTGCATGGTCCGCTTCTTCGCGAGCGCGGCCTCGCGCGCGTCCTTCGCCTTGACGTAGGCGGCCTCCTTGGTTTTAAAATCCCGGTCGAGCCACGCGAGGTCGCGCTGGCACTCCTCGAGCTTGGAGCGGAGGACGCCGACGTCCTCGGCCTCCTTGACCTTGAGCTTCTTGAGCTCCGTCTCGAAGACCGCGAGCCGCCGCGCCTCGGCGGCGACCTTCTCGCGCTGCGCGTCGAGGCTCGCCTTGACCTGCGACTCCTTCTCGCTCGTCGCCCGCTGCGTCCGCGCGAGCGTCGCCACCGCGGGCTCCGCCGGCGCGGCGGGCGCCGGCGCCGGCGCCGGCGCGTCGTCGCCAAAGAGGTCCTCGGCGTCCTCCATCTCCCGCTCCAGCGCCGCCGCGCTGTCCTCTGCGGCGGCGACGGCCGCCGCCGTCGACGACGTCGCCGGCGGCGCGGGCGGGCTCGGCGGCTTGTCTTTCAAGTTGGCCCACATTGATGCGTCTTTCGGCGGTCGCGGCGCGTCCTAGTACTCGGTCGTGGCGTGCGACGCGTCCTATTAATGCGCAAACAAGTCGCACATGCGCTCGATCTGCACGGCCAAGTCAAGAGTGCTGTGGACTCGAACGTCAATTCCACCGGTACCGGTCCAAGAGCAAGGTAATACTATTTATTACCCCTTGCCAAGAGGCTTCCAAGAAACGCGCGCTACGGAGCCTCTACGGCCTTCCACACCTAGAACGCCCCCCGCGACCGGCGTCCCTGTCCCGGGTCCCAGCCGAACGTCGCGCAGCGGCCGCCCTGGAGCGCCTTGCGGTCGTGGACGACGAGGCACGGCGAGCCGCCGCCGCAGCGGAGCTTGTCGCAGTTCCACGCGCGGCAGATCTCCTTTCCGAGGACGTCGACGGCGAGCGTCGGGTGGGCCCACAGGGCCTCGCGGAACGCGTACTGCGTGCCGCCGCCGGAGGAGACGAGGCTCGGCGCGGCCGCGGCCGCGAGGATCTTCCTGCGGTGCGCGTCGTACGCGTCCGTCAACAGCGCGTCGAGCGCCGGCCCCGCGCGCGCGGCGACGACGCCCGTGTTCGGCTCCGGCCGGCACTCGAAGCGGGGCGCCCAGGGCGACCCTGTCGCGTCGCCGCACCGCGCCTCGAGGGCCGCGTCGGAGCTCGACGCGTTCGCGTCGCCGTCCGCGAGCAGCGCCGCGGCGCCCGGCGCGCGGAACGCGGGCAGGAGCCGGTAGCCCGCGCGGCCGTTGGAGCCCGCGCGGTCGAAGGGCCGCAGCGCGCCCCGGAGCGCCACGGTCGCGGCGCCGCGCGCGACGCGCGCGAGGACCGCCGCGAGCGCGCCGGACGAGCACGCCTTGACGTCCGCGTCGAGGAAGAGCGTGTGGTCGAAGGGCGTCGACGCCCAGGCCTGCGACGAGAACGTCTCGCGGCGCGCCACAAAATCGAAGGGACGCCGGCGCGGGGCCAGGATCTGGTAGAGGCCGCTTAATGTCCCGCCGAGGTCCGCGTCGAAGCCCGCCCGGACGGCGGCCGCGTCGACGTCGTCCGCGCGGACCGCGACGCGCTCGGCGACGTCGAAGACCTTGCCCTGGGACGGCGTGAGCAGGCGCTCGAACTCGAGGTCCGGGTGCGTGTACAAGGCGAAGGCCGCGGCGCCGCCGCCGCCGGGGCACGCGACGCGGCCGAGCCGCTTCAGCGCGCGCGTCGTCGCCGACGCGTCGACGAGGAACTTGCGCGCCGTCTCCCACTGCACGAGGTCCCGCGGCGGCGGGTTCATGACCGTCATCACGACGCCGCAGCCGCGCCGCGCCGCCCGCCCGACGTCGAGGGCCCGCGCGACCGGCGAGTCCGCCCCGAGCGGCGGAAGCCGCGACGCGACCGCGGCCAAAGCGTCGGGGCCCGGCCGCTCCACAAAGTCGCTGGGCACGCCGCCGCGCCGGAGCCGCGCGGGCCGGAAGCCGGCGAGCGCGTGGCCGCCGTAGAGGTGCGCGAACGCCGCCGCGGACTCGTTCGCGGGGAGCAGCGGTTTCACGGGGCCCCAGACCCGCGCGGCCTGGCGCGCGGCGCCGCGCGGCGGCTTCGGCTGCGGCTGCGGCGCCGGCGCCGGCGGCGCCACGCGCGCGTGCAGCGCGACCTGGGCCGCGCAGACCGCCGCGACGAGGATGGAACCGGCCCAGACGCGCCGCAGCCGCGCGGCTGAGCCCTGGCAGCAGAAGCGGTGCAGCGGCTCCTCGCAGGCTTCGACGCAGCAGTCGTCGTCGCGAGGTCTCGCGAGCATCATCGGGTCGTATGCGCGGGCTGGCTAGCTAGGGCTGGCCAGCTAGGGCTGCCCATCCAAGCTCGACCATCGTGCTATCATTGTGCAAGGTGATTCTTGCACCCATCTTGCATGCGATGTTTACCTGTGTGAGCTGTGCGTGATGGAAGCCAAACTCGATGCTCGGCAGCCCTAACAAGCCACATGTGCGTGATGGAAGCCAAACTCGATGCTCGGCAGCCCTAACAAGCCACATGTCCGGCAGCCCATGCGGCGTCTAGGATGCCGTCGATCCGCGAGCTCCGCCGCCACCTCGACGCCGCCGGCGTCGACCACAGCGCGGCGCGGGACCGCGGCGCGCTCGAGGAGCTCTGCGTCTCCCGCGGGCTGGCGCGGCGGGAGCCGGCGCCGAGCCAGCCCTGCGCGGCGTGCCGCGAGCCGCTGGCGGGCCCGGTCGTCGAGATCGGCGGGAGGCCGTACCACCGGCGCTGCGCGGTCTGCGCGGTCTGCGCCGTCGCGCTCGGGAAGGAGGTCGTCGTGCGGCGGGACGGCGCGTTCAGCTGCGAGCGCTGCGCGCGGGCGGCGCTCGAGGCGACGGCGCCCAAGTGCGGCGCGTGCGACGCCGCCGTCGTCGACGGCGGCTGCCAGGTCGACGGCGCGCACTTCCACCGCGCGTGCGTCCGCTGCGCCGCGTGCGCCAGGGCCCTCGTGTCGACGGCGCCGGGATCGACGAAGCACCGCATCAAGATGGGCAAGGACCGCAAGGTCTACTGCCACGGCTGCCTCGAGGAGCGGTTCGGCGAGATCTGCGGCTGCTGCGGCAAGCCCGCGATCCGCTACGCGCGGAGCGAGGCCACGGGCCAGTCGTTGTGCCTGACCTGCGTGAAGCGCGCCGGCTGCGACGCGTGCTTCCTGCGCCGGGGAGGCCCGCTCGTCGAGCGTGACGGCTTCAAGCACTGCGACGTCTGCGACGCGACGGCCGTGACCTCCGACGCCGACGCGAACGCGATCATGAGCGAGGTCGTCGACTGGCTCCGGCGCGCGCACGGCCTCCGCTCCTTTCTCGAGGACGAGGGACTCAAGGGCCTCGGCGTGCGGCTCGTCGACGAGCAGCGCATGACGACGCTCGCGAAGGGCTCGCGCCACGGGTCGTGCAAGTGCCCGCTCGGCATCACGGTGTCGGAGCGGCGCGTCGCGGTCTCGAGCGCGTCGCGATCCGAGGACTTCGCCGTGCGAGATGTCTACGCGCGCCGGGGCTTGCCGCGCGCGCGGCTCGCGTCCGTGCTCGCGCACGAGCTCTGCCACGCGTTCTTCACGATGAAGTCCTTCCGCAAGGCGGGCGAGAGGCCGCTGCCGCTGGCCGTCGAGGAGGGCTGCGCGGAGCTGTGGGCGTCCCTCTGGCTCGAGGGCCACGACGACCCGTCGTCGCGCACGTTCCTCGCGCTCATGGTCGCGTCGACGGACCCCGTCTACGGCGACGGCTACCGAAAGGCCAAGGCCGCGTTCCGACGCGCGCCGTCCCTCATCGACTTCATGCGCGGCGTGCGGCGCGCGAAAAAGCTGCCGTAAGTTAGCTTCTACGCTTCCGCGGATGATGGTAGTAGCGCGAACAGATAAAAGCGCGGGCAGCGACTTCACGAAGATGATTGCGCAAGGGCAACCATAACCTAGAGAGAGATACCCCAAACGACCCCGCAGCACACGCCCCTACCCCGCGACGCCGAAGCGCCCGACGAACGGCGCGCGCAGCTCTAGGGTTGCTTGCCGCGCTTACGTCAGGGTTACGCGCTACTCGGTGAGTCCCAACGCGCGCGTTTGGAGGTCCTAAGTCGTAGGATTTAGGGGGGCGCGCCGCGCGAGGGCCGCGGCGAGCGCGGCGAACGCGACTCGCGCCACAGGGCCGCGAGGATGGTATCTGCGTCCTGCTCGGCGACGCGCGCGAGCGGCCCCGGGGAGCACTGGTGGCCGCCGTTTGCTTTTTCTGAAACCGTGCACAGCCCCTCCTCGGCCGAGCAGCCCTTCACGCCGACGGCGTTCTCCGGGAAGTCGATGAGGGCCGCGCGCGGGAACGCGGCGCGGTAGCGGCCGAGCTTGATTCTGTGACGTTCTCCAAGGGAAACGTTTCGGTCTAAGCCTTCAATATGTCGGTCTTGTTCATTTGTCACGCCCACGAGGAGCACGTCGGGGTCGAAGCCGATGCCGCGCAGGAGCTCGATCGCGGGCTCCGAATATTTCGCCTGGAACATTTCGTCGTTGTCGAACCTACGGAGACAGGTTTCCGACGAAGGCCTCGGACGCGGCGGCCGCGAACAGCAGAAGGGTCGCGTTGTTCTTCGCGCTTTGCGCGAGGTATGAATTCATATTGTTGCCGTCGAGCTTGAAGACGTCGGTGGAATGACAGCCGCAGAGCAGCGTCGTCATCCGCTCCGCGAGGTACGAGTTCCCGTCCGCGAAGATGCGCGCGCTTTGTGGCAGATTGGCGAGCTGGAAGCGCCACGGTCGATAAGGCTGCGTGCGCTTGAGCACCGCCGCGTACGCGTCGCCGACGCACGCCCAGTTAGAGCGCGTGAGCGTGCACCACTCGTGGTCGCTCGCCGACACGACGTCGTAGTTCTCCCGCATCCTCCCGGGCGGAAACGCTCGGAACGCGTGCTTGATGTCGTGCAGGCTCTTGACCTTGGACCACGAGGGCGTCCCGTCGCCGGCGCCCCACAGCCGATCCGGGGTCCACGCCGTGGAGAGGTTCGCGTTTTTTTTTTTTTTTGACGGTCCCGAAGTCGCGACGACGCCGAGCGCGAGGAGCAAGTACGGGTTGGGGGGCATGAGGTCCCCTAATGATCTCGGTCGCGGAGCGCGAGGAGCGGGGCGCGGCTCGGGAGAGCGTCGGGCGGCGCGACGCGGTTCCTCGTGCGACTACACGATTAGCGCTAGTCCCACGTTAAAGCACCCATAATAATAATAATAATAATAATAATAATAATAATAATAGCTAAGTTAGCGAGACCTCTAGACCGGGCCTCACCCGCCTGCGGACCCCTGGCCTGGGCTCCTTACTACTACGCCTACTACTAGTACTAGCCCGGGCCTAGCCGAGACCCACTAGGGAACCGGACTCTCGCTGGGAGGAGCGCCTAGGCGCGTCGCGTCCGGGGTGAGGGACCCCAAAGAGCGCGCTGGTCCAGCGCTCTCGCTGCCTCGTGGCCGGACCCCCGGCCAAGCGCGCGCGCTCGGTCCAAGCTCTTGAACCGCTCTCCGAGCGGGGCAAGGTCGGCCCGCAGGCGGGTGGCCGGGCCTCGCTCGCCCCCCGAGAGCCGAGGCCGCAATTTGTGTTTATCCCAACCGCACGAGCGTGAGCCGCCAGAGGCGCGCGAGGCGGAGGTACACGTCCGCCTCGGAGACGGGGTCGCTCTCGTCCTCGTCGAGGTCCGCGACGAGGTCCGCGGCGAGCTCGGCCGCCGACAGCTCGCCGTCGCAGCGCTCGTAGATGGCCGCGTCGAGCGCGTCGAGGAGTTCGACGTCGCCGCGCCTCGTCCGCGCCGCGTCCTCGAGGGGCTCGTCGAGGTCGAGGACGCGGAGCGTCGATGTTTCCCGGGGCTCGCCGTCGTCGCCGCGCTCGACGGTCGTCGTCAGCGCGTAGCGCGCGTGCTTGCGCGCGGGGAACGACGCGGCCGCGCCCGGGAACGACCCCGCGGCCTCGTCGACGGGGCAGCGCCGCGCGCGCCGCAGCTTCCCGGGCGTCGCGAGGAGGAGGTCGAGGCGCCGCGTCGGCGACGCCGCGGCGCGCGCGTTCGCCGCGAGGAAGCTCGACACGGCGCCGCGGGGGCTCTCCGCGACGGGTTCGGCCGGCTTCGTGTTGAACGACGTGTTCAAAACGAACGGCACGCCCGTGAGCGCAAAGACGGCGGCGATGAGCGCGCGGTAGCGCGCGAGGCGCGGCTCCGTCGACGCCACGGTCTGGGGCCGCGCCGTGTCGTCGACGTGGGCGCACGCGGGCACGAGTTCGGCCCTGTCGCGCGCGAGCGTCCAGACGCGGCTCATGTAGGGCGTCGGCGCGTCGCCGCCCTTCCCCGCGAACCATTTGCTCGCCTCCTCCTCCAGGACCGCCGGCGCGAGGGGGCGGAAGTCCTCGCGGCCCTTGACGACGTCGTTGATGCCGTCGACGACGTCGTAGCGCGTCGCCGGCGCGACGATCGACCGGTGGCCGAGCGCGCGGGGCCCGAACTCGCCGCGGCCCTCGAACCAGAAGACGACGCCCGCGGCGCCGTCGTTTGCCGCGAGCGCGGCGGCGCAGCGGGCGACGAGCGCGCCGTCGTCGCCGTCGGCCACGCCGTCGACGGCCTCGAGCCACTCGCCGAAGTCGTCGAGGGCGTCGTCGATCTCATCGTCGCTCGGCGCCGCGCCGCCGTACGGCAGGAGCGCCGTGTTTAGATGCTTTGTTGCACCGGCGACGGCCAGCGCCCGCGCCGCGCAGCCCAGCGCGCAGCCCTCGTCGCCCGGCGCGGACGGCACGTGCACTCTGACGGCCGCTTCCTCCTCCGCGAGGCCGTTGAGCACGCTGTTGAGGCCCACGCCGCCGCAGAGCACGACGCGCGTCGCGTCCGGCACCCGGGCCGCGGCGTGGGCCGCGAAGGCGAGGGCGACGGCCTCGAGGTCCTTTTGCGCAAAGTAGGCGAGCGCCGCGCAGCACGCGCGCGCGGCGACCGGCTCCGACGGGAACTTCCAGAGGTTCGTCGGGCTCGCGGGCGGGAAGGCCGCCCGGAACGCCGCGGCGTCGCCGACGAAGGCCGCGTCCGGCAGGGCCGCCGCGGCCCGCGCGAGGAGGTCCGCGATCGCGGACCGGTCGATGGAGACGCCCGCGTCGACGGCGCCGGCGTAGAGCCGCGGCCGGCCGCCGCCGTCCAGGGCCGCGGCGGCGTTTCGCGCGTACGGCGCCCAGGAGTCGCGCGTCCGGCCGCCCCAGGTCGCGTCGCCCGTCGTCGCCGGGTCGCCCCAGGGCGCGAGGCCCATGACTTTCCCGCACGCGTTCCAGTCGCCGAAGACGACGTGCGACACGTGCGAGTAGGCGGCGCCGAGCGAGTCCATGGGCGCCGCGAACCAGTCGCCGAAGCCGAAGAAGGCGCCGGGCACGCCCAAACACCAGCGCTTGACCAGCGGCGACAGCGCGCCGTCCGCGCTTTCGGCGTAGGCCGTCTCGCATTCGCGCGCGTCCGGCGGGACGGCCCCAAAGTCCACGCGGGCGTCGTTGAGGACGTGGACGCAGTCGCCGAAGCCCGGGAGGTCGGCGTCGCTGTGGAAGTCCGCCTCGTCGAAGCGGCGCCGCTCCTCGCCCATGCCGTCCATGACGACGACGACGCCGGGCCCGATCCGGTCGCCGGTCGCGGCCGCGCCGAGCGCGTGCGCGAGGTGGTGCGACATCTCCGATGTGATCGTAGCGTCGAAGGCGTTGTAGGGGTCCACGGCGTCGCCCACGTCGACGCCGGCCGCGGACTGCGAGAGCCCGAGCGCCGCGGCGCGAGCGAACGCGCGCTCCTCGGACGCGACGGACCGGTGGTGGTCGTTGGCGACGACGGCGACGACGTCGTCGATCCCGACGTCGCAGGCCGCCAGCGCGTGGCGCACGAGGTCGCCGACGGCGCCGCCGTCGTTCTTGACGCGCGTGAGGCGCTCCTTCTCCTGGGCGAAGAGGAGCTCGCCGGTGTGCGCGTCGGCGACCGCGACGCAGGCGTTGTGGCTGTACTTGTTGAGTCCCAGGACGACGGAGCGCGGCGCGTGCAAGGCCGAAACAGCGGTGAGGGCTGCGAGCAGTACCCACATCGTCCTCGCCGGCGGCCTTTGAGGTAGACCTTGAGTGGCACTTTGCCAAAGACTTTGCCGCAAGATCAGCGACGCTCGAGCCGGAGCTGCGACGCGGCACCCAACTTTGTCAAGCGCCTGACGCTCTGCTGCCGGCCGGCTCGTTCAGCAGCAGCGCGGGCGCGAGCGCCTGACGCTCTGCAGCCCGGGTCGGCGCGGGCGCGATGGCGCGCCGGCTCCTGGGTCTCCTCGCGACCTTGGCCGTCGCCTCCACGAGCGAGGACTTCGGCATGAGCTACGGCCAGCGCCTCGCGCTGCGCGACGCCGTCGTCGAGATGCACGGCCACGCGCACCGGGCCTACATGGCGCACGCGTTCCCGCACGACGAGCTCATGCCCCTGAGCTGCCAGGGCCGGCGCTGGGACAAGCGGCGGCGCGGCACGCTCGACGACGTGCTCGGCGGCTACCTCATGACGTTGGTCGACGGCGCGGACACGATGCTGACGATCGGCGACTACGAGAGCTTCGCGGCCACGCTGGACGTCATCGCAGCGACGCTCACCTTCGACCGGGACGTGACCGTGTCGACGTTCGAGGCGTGCATCCGCGTGCTGGGAGGTCTGCTGTCGGCGCACTACCTCGTGACGGCCGACGCGCTGCGGCCCGCGGTCCTGCGCGCGGCGGCGAACGCGACGGACCCCGCGGCGGCGGTGGACCGCTGGGCGCGGTCCCTGCGGAGCCTGGCAACGGATTTAGGGCGGCGGTTGCTGCCGGCGTTCGACACGCCGACGGGCATCCCCGCGCACCGCGTGAACCTGCGACGGGGCGTCGCGACGTCCGAGAGCCGCGAGACGTGCTCCGCGGCCGCGGGGACCATGCTCCTGGAGATGTCCAAGCTCAGCGCGTTGACGGGCGACGGGCGCTTCGAGGCCGCGGCGCGGCGCGCGCTCGACGAGCTCTGGCGGCGCCGGTCCAAGGTCACGGACCTCGTCGGGTCGACGGTGCACACGCACACGGGCCAGTGGCTCGCGCCGAACACGGGCGTCGGCGCGGGCGTTGACTCCTACTACGAGTACATGGTCAAGGCGGCCATTTTTCTGGATGACGCGCCGCTGCTGCACCGGGGCCTCGCGGGCGTGCGCGCCGCGCACAACGAGACGTCCTTCCGGGACCCGGCGTCGGCGCTGCTCTGGAACGTCGAGGTCTACCGGGATTCGGGCCGCTATTTTGGCCACCGCGTGTCGGCGCTGCAGGCCTTCTGGCCGTCGCTGCTGCTCATGGCGGGCGACGTCGGCGCGGCGCGCGACACGTTCAAGGCCTACTGGTCCGTGTGGCGCAAGTACAAGTCGCTCCCGGAGCTCTTCGATCTCTCCAAGAACGACGTGCTGACCTTCGCCAAGGACTCGCCGCTGCGGCCGGAGCTCGCGGAGTCGGCGCTGCATTTATATCTGAAGACGCGCGACGCGCACTTCCTCGTCGTCGGCCGCGAGCTCGTCGCGGCGCTGAACAACATCTCGCGCGTGCCCTGCGGCTTCGCGTCCATCGCCGACGCGACGACGCACCGCCTCGACGACCGCATGGACTCCTACTTCTTCGCGGAGACGCTCAAGTACCTCTTCCTCCTCTTCGACCTGAGCCTCGAGCCCGCGGACCGCCGGTCCTTCTTCTGCTGCGACGACGACGACGACGACATCGCCGACGGCGCGCCCTACAGCGACGCCAAGGGCTGCCCGCCGGCGGGCGCCTGCGTGCGCCTCGACCGCACCCTCTTCTCCACGGAGGGCCACTTCTTCGAGGTGCCCTTCCCGGAGGCGCTCGGGCCCTTCGGGAGCTTGAAGGCGGGCCTCGAGCCCGTCTGCGACGCGCACGCGGGCGCCATGTAACACGTGGGGCTTTCCAGCAGGGGCAGCTGCGCGCGCGTGCCTTCGTCGGCGGCACTCTGCCTGCGTCGATTGCGCCTCTCAGACGTCCAAGGTCATGCTTAGGGCAGCCCTCGCAGGCGCATCACATCACGATAAGTTTGAAAGGGCAGCATCCAGTCAGAGCATCCTTCAAGTGATGGGCTCAAGCCGAAGAGCAAAATAGGAGCCAGCGGCCGGAACGAGTGTCAATCTGTGTTGCCCGCCGCAACCTCACCTCCGCGACAGCAGCACCCACGACCGCCCCAGTACCACCACATCGAAGCCATGTCGACGCCGGCGAAGAAGAGACTTATCGACACGAAGGTGATCCGCAGGTTGATCGAAGAAGACACGGCGGACTCCCCCAAACGCCCGCGCCCCCTGGACATCTGCCGCCGGATCGTCGACACCGGCGATCTGCGCTCGCCGCTCACGCCGCTGTCCCCGAACACCGTCATGAAAAGGAAAACCGACATGGCGAGCCAGTTGGATGAGTTCGACGAAAACCTGCGCAAGGCGAACCAGCGCGTGTACCTCCGGACGCACGACGCGCCGCCGCCGAGCGCGTTCTGAAGCACCGGTGGCGAACCTTCCACCCGCATCCCTAGGTGCCACCCCGCTCGAAACAGACCGCTCGCCGAACCGTCTGGAGCCGCGACATGTGAAAAACCCTCTGTGCCCCGCGTCGCCTGTGACTGTTTTAAGCCGATAGAACTCCCTCTGGTGGTGCGTATCGTAGGGTAGAGACGCACGTCCGTGCCGCTCCAGACAAATGAAGGCTTATCCGCGCGGCAGGCCCGCGTCGTCGAAGGGGAACTCGGGGAACGCGTCGGACCCCAGCGACGACGCGTCGCCGAGCGCGTCGCCGTCGGCGAAGGCGGACCGCAGCGCGTCGTCGGCGACGGGCGACGCCGCGGCGTCGCCCGTCGCCTTGGCGCGCCGCGCGGCCCGCGCGACGCGCCGCTTCGCGAGCTTGGCGACCTCGGCCGCGCGCTGCTTCCAGTCGCGCAGCTCGCGCTCCGCGAGGAGCCGCCGGCACCGCTCGTCGGCGTGCGCGGCGCTCAGGCCCAGCAGCGCGTCGCGCGCGGCGCCGTCGCGCTGCTCGCGCTCCGCGGCGGCGGCGATCGCCGCGGCCTCGGCCTCGAGCCGCAGCTTGTCGAGTGTTTCCGCGTGCCGCCGCCGCTCGCGCGCGAGCTCGGCCGCCGCGAGGTCGCGCTCGACCAGGGCCTCGTCGCGCGCGGCGGCGGCGGCGGCGAGCTCCTGCGCGTGTTTTTTGTGATCGCTCGGCGCGGCCGCGGGCGGCGGCGGCGGCGGCGGTGCGTCGCCGCCCTCGGCCTGCAGGACGCGCAGCTGGAGCTCGACGAGCTCCGATTCGAGCAGGCGCTGTTGTTGCAGTAATTTGGCGTTCGCGCGGCTGCTTCGTCGCAGCGCGCGCAGCACGTCCGCATCGGCGTTTGGCTCGGCCATCGCGCGCCAAGAGCTCAAAAAGTGCATTGATGTGCACCCAAAACCTTGTGGCAAATTCCGCCCTCGCGATGAGGGGCTGCAATTTGCTCCTCATCGCGGCCTTGGTCGGCGCCGGGGCCTTCCTCCCGCCCGTGTCGGTCCCTCGGCTGCGCTTCCTGCGGCGCCTGGGCATCCGGCGCGCCGGCGCCGTGGAGCAGCGGAAGAACCTCACGCTCCTCACGTGCCTCGCGGCGCCGCGCGTGCGCTACCTCGGCGACAACGCGACGCTGTTCCTGCGGTACCTGAACGCGACGTCGCCGAGTCCCATCCCCGCGGACGCGGAGGTGGCGAGCGAGCAGCTCGACGCGGCGTCCGCGGGCGCGCGCGTCGAGGCGCTGTGGCGGAGCCGCGAGCTCATCGTCCACGACAAGGCCGCGTACCGCGAGGCCGTCGCCGGGTCCAAGCTCGCGGGCCAGCTCGCGGGCGGCGCGCGGCGGGCGAGCGCCATCTGGGCGAAGATGCCGCGGGACGTCGCGGCCGCGCGGCGCTACGTCGACGCCGCCGCGCCGGCGCTGCCGCGCGACGGCGCCGCGGACGAGGCGGCGCTCAAGGCGCTGCTCGTCGACTTCAAGGAGCGCTACCCCTACTACCACGGCCAGTGCACGCACTGCGGCGCGCCCGCGACGGACTTTGTGGGCGAGATCTCCGCGTCCGAGGCCGAGGCCGAGGCCGCGCGCGCGGGCCGCGTGGAGCTGCGCTTCTGCGAGGCCTGCCACGGCGCGAGCCGCTTCGTGCGCGCCAACGACGTCGGCTACGCCCTCCACACGTCGAAGCGCGGCCGCTGCGGCGAGTACAGCGCCGCGTTCCTCGCGGTCCTCGTGTCGCTCGGCATGGAGGCGCGCTGGGTCTTCGACACGACGGACCACGTCTGGTGCGAGTGCAAGCTCGGCGGACACTGGGTCCACGTCGACCCCTGCGAGGCGTCCATCGGCGAGCCCCAGATCTACGAGGGCTGGGGCAAGAACGGCACGCTCGTCGTCGCGTTCGCCGAGCGCGAGGCCGTCGACGTCACGGACCTGTACTACGCGAACCAGAAGCGCGACGTCAAGGCGCGGCGGAAGAGCGACGGCCTGACCGCGGCCGCCGTGCGGGACGTCCTCGCGGGCTACGCGGCGCGCGACGGCGAGCTGGGCGAGGACGGCGGCGCGTAGCTTGGGAGGGTATGTCGCTCTCCTAACTCAAGGGCGCCCTTCTCTTCCATCCAAAGCTCTTCGCGCGGGATCGTACTTTAATCAAAGACCTGTCTTTCAGCGTAACATATCCCGCCGGCGGGATATGTTAAATGCTACACTTTGCGGCACGAAATCCAATCTGCAATTTGCTCATTGTCCGAGTCGCCGTCGGAGTCGTTTTCACCATCGGCGTCAGAGTCGTTCTCAAGCTCGTTCGCCATGAATTGGATAATTTCTGTAACTTGAAGGTCAAATTGAAGCATTATGCTGAAGTTTTGGGGCAAGACGATGACGAGCCGGGCGAGCACTCGTCTCGCGTGAGGGCATAACGCAGTCGACACGAACCGGAGCACAGCGAACAAGGCTGCAGACCACATGTACGCGCCCGTGCAAGCCGTGGACGAAGCTGCCGCTGGCGAGGAGCCGTGGCAGGCAGCGGACGAGGCTGCCGAGGAGCCCTGCGTCGACGCGCGCGCCCTCGAGGCCGCCAAGGCCGACGAGAGCCTCGCGGGCGCGCTCGACGGCGAAGCCGCGTTGCCATCGGTCGGCCGCCGCTGGCTCCGCTTCGCCGTCGTCGCGGCGTCGTCCTTCCTGCTGAACGCGACGAGCAGCGTCATCATCATCGTCATGCCGAAGATCGCCGAGGACCTCGACGCGTCGCTGTCGTCCGTGCTCTGGGTGAGCCTCGCGCACAGCCTCGTGACCTGCGCGCTCAACTCCGGCGCGGGCCTCCTCGGCGACGTCGTCGGCCACCGGCGGCTCTGGTACGCGGGCATGGCCGTGCGCGCGGCCGCGCAGCTCTGCAGCGGCCTCGCGCCGTCGCTGCCGGCGCTGGTCGCGTGCCGCGCGGCCGCGGGCGTCGGCGGCGCCATGGACGGGCCCTCGGGCATCGCGCTCGTGCTGCGCACGTTCCCGCCGGAGCGGAAGCCGTTCCTGGTCGCGCTGTGCACGGCCGTGGGCACGTCGGCGCAGTCCGCGGGCATGATCCTCGGGGCCGTCGTCGCCTGTGTGGAAATCAAATATTCAACCCGACTTCAATGTGCGCGTAATCGAACGGATTGGACCAGACTATTTCGCTGTGCTTCGAGAACTCGACGAGAGCAATCGATTCGTCCAAAAATCAGCCGAATCGACTTCGATTTGACCGAGCTAGAGATTTCTGAAGTTTGGCCCCGACGTCCCAGCTCACTGGTTGATTTCCACACAGGTCGTCGCGCAGAGGTTCGGGTGGCGCATGTGCTTCCTCGCGCCCGTGCCCCTGCTGGCCGTCATCGTGCTCGCCGCGCCCGTCGCGCTGAGGGACGACGACGGCGGCGGCGGCGGCGGGGGCGACGTCTCCGGGCAACTGCGGGACTTCGACTGGGGCGGCACGGCGCTGCTCGCCGCCGCTTTGATCCTGTACCTCCTCGCGATCAACGCGCACGCCGGCGCCGCGCGCCTGGTCTTCTTCGGCGCGTCCGCGGCCGCGGCCGTCGCGCTCTTCGCGCTGGAGCGGCGCGTCGAGGCCGCGGGCGGCAAGCCCGTGCTCGCGCTGTCCGTGCTCGCGCGGGGGCCGCTCTGCGCGGCCTTGCTCGCGCACTTCTTGCTCTGGTCGTGCTACATGATGGCCTACCTCCTCTACCCTTTATTCCTCCAGGAGCGCCGCGGGTTCTCGCCGGCGCGGGCCGCGTCGCGGCTCTGGCCGCGGCCCCTCGCGAACGCGCTCTTCTCCACGCTCGCCGGGCGCGTCGGCGGCCGGTCCACCGCGACCTTCGTGTCCGTCGGCGCGGCGCTGCAGTACCCGTCGTTCGTCGCCGTCGTCTTCTGGCTTCGCCTGCGACGGCTCTCGTCGGACCTGCTGCTCGGCGCCATCCAGGTATTCCAGGGCGCGGGCAACGGCATCGCGTCCAACACGCTCATCGTCTTCGTCACCGCAGCCATGCCCGGCGACCGCATCGGCAACGCGCTGGGTATCGTGAAGACGGCGCAGAGCGTCGCGCTCATGACGGGCTACTCGAGCACGACGGCCATCGTCGACGGCGGCGGCGCGGAGAGCTACGCGACGGCCGCCTACGCGGCGCTGGCCGTCGCGACGGCCTTCCTCTTCTTCCCGTGCTACGCCTCGGGCTACGAGGCGGGCCGAAGAGCGGCCGCCGCGGAGACGGAGGACGCGCCCGTCGAGAGTCCCCTCGTCGCCGCCGCCGCTAAGTGACGGCCTTAGGATCCTCAGGGCGGCGCCGGCCCGACGAGCGTCGCGAGCCCCCGCTCGGGGTCGACGACCCAGGGGCTCCGGCGCGTCTTCGCGACGGCGTCCAACGCGCGCGCGCGCCGGTTTCGTCGGTCGAGCGCGTCGAACCAGACGCGGAGCGACTCGCCGTCGACGGTCTCGACGGACACGATGGCGAGCTCCGAGGCCGAGATCCACGCCGACGCGCGCCGCCGCACGGCGTCGAAGCGCTCGCCGTCGCCCGGCGCGAACGTCGCGCAGTCCAGGAGCGTCTGCCGCGGCGGCGGCGTGAGGAACCGGAGCGCGTAGGCGCTGGGCGTCGCCTTGACCAGGCGCGCGAAGACCTATGCAAGGTGGCGATTTTTTCTTCGGTTTCACAAGAGCTCCTGGGACGCCGGCGAAGGCGCCTTCTCGCACTCGGCCCAGTGCAGCGCCGTCAGGTCGATGCCGTCGATGGACACGAGCTTGGCGCCGACGGCGACGCGGCCCGCGAGCGGCGACTCCGCCGCGACGGCCGCGACGACGGCGGGCTTGGCCGCGGCGTCGAAATCCAGCCCCAGGTTCACGATCGTCGCCCCGTCGACGGCGATCTCCACCTTCTCCAGCGCCTCGGCCTCGCCCGTCTCGAAGCGCAGCTTCCGGTCCTCGCTCGACCGCTTCTCCAGCACCGCGCGCACGCCGTCCGCGCCCACGCCCGCGACGTCGATGCCGTTCACGGCCACCAGCCGCCAGCCGACGCCGACGTCGGCGTCGAGGGGCGCGCGCGCCGCGGCGACGCGGGCGCCGCAGCCCGCGTCCTCGAAGACGAGCGGGATCGTGCCCGGGCCCACGCGCACCTCGGCGACGCCGGCCTCGGCGGCCTCGGCGGACGGGTCCTGGATCTCGAAGAGGAGGTCCTCCTCGTCCACGGGCGCGGGCTTTTTTGGCTTCGTGAACATGTTCCGCTCGTGCGAGGCTGCCCTCTTCTCAGGCTGGGGCAACAGCCATTGGAATCCTCAGCGTGTGCTTCTTGTGCTCAATTTCGACCCAGACGCACGTTGACCTTCGGCAAGGGAGCCTAGCATCTCGCAATGCCCCCCAAGAAGAAGCAGAAGGTCGCGCCGCCGCAGGAGCGCTTCAAGGCGTTGAAAATCGTCATCATCGATGCCCTGCCCTTCCAGAGGAAGCTCTGGCAGGAGCGCATCGGCGCGGGCTTCGTCGCCGTGACCTCCGCCGACGTCGCGGCCGGCGCGCTCGCGCGGCACGGCGACGCGACGCACGTCGTGTCCTGCGCCAAGGACCGCGCGCTCGCGGGCCGCGTCCGCGACGACGTCGGCGCCGCGCCGCACGTCGTCACGGACGAGTGGCTGACGACGACGCTGCGCGCCGCCGACGGCCTCGCGGCCGAGGCGGACTTCGCGTGGCGCGCGCCCGCGCCCGCCGCGCCCGCGGTCGCGGCGCCGGCCGCGGCGCGCGCGCGCGCCGTCAACGTCGACGCCGGCCAGAACGACGACGTCGTCGCCAAGCTCAAGGAGCTGCTCGAGTTCTACGAGGCCGACGGCGAGAGCAACTTCCGCACGATGCCGCTCAAGAAGGCGATCAGCCGCCTCGCGACGCTGCCGGCCCTCGCGGAGGACGACCTCGACGACGCGTCCCTCGCGGCGCTCCTGCCCAAGGCCTGCCAACAGAACACGCGCGCGAAGATCGTCGAGATCTTCGAGACCGGCGACCTCGAGCGCCTCGTCGAGTTCCGCAGGAACCCGGACAAGCGCGCGAGGAAGGAGCTGACGACGGTCTTCGGCGTCCAGACCGCGACGGCGAACCAGCTCATCCAGCAGGGCGTGCGCTCCGTCGCGGACCTGCGCGCGGCCGTCGCCGCGCGGCCGAACTTGGTGCCCGCGCGGACCGTCGCGGCCCTGGCGGTGCACGAGGACCTGCAGACGCGCATGCCCCGCGCCGAGTGCGCGCGGATCCGCGACGAGATCGCTCAAAAGGCGCGCGCGATCTTCGCGCGGCGCTACCCCCGCGCGGACCCCTTCGAGCTCTCCGTCGAAGCCTCGGGCTCCTTCCGCCGCGGCGCGGCGACGTGCGGCGACGTCGACGTGCTCGTGACGGCGCCGGTCTGGCGCGACGGCGACAGCGATGGCGCGCGGCGCGCGTCCGACGACGGCGCGCGGCGCCCGTCGGACGACGCCGGCGACCCGGACGTCGGCGCCGCGGAGTCGCGGTCGAGCCGCGACGCGTTCCTCCGCGACCTCGTCGGCGCGCTCCGCGACTCGGGCCTGCTCACGGCGCACCTCGCCGGCGCGTGCCTCGGCGGCGGCGCCGCGGACGGGCCCGTCGAGGTCGACGACGTCGGCAAGGTCCTGCGCGCGGGGCCGTCGACGTACAACGGCATCGGCCGCGTCGACGGCGGCGCGCACCGCCGCGTCGACGTCAAGTGCTACGCGCCCCAGCACTACGCCTTCGCCCTCGTCTACTTCTCCTCCGGCGACCACTTCAACCGCGCCATCCGATCCCTCGCCAAGGCCCAGGGCTACTCGCTCTGCGACACGGGCCTCCGCGCGAGCGCGCGGTCGGGCTCGTGCTACGGCGGCGACGGCAAGTACGTGTCCAACAAGATCCAGGTCTGCCGGAGCGTGCCCTGCGCGACGGAGGCGGACATCTTCGACTTCCTCGGCATCGACTACAAGTCGCCCGAGGAGCGCGCCGTCGCGGACAACGCGACGGCCGTCGGGTCCCGCGCGCGGGCGATCCGCCTCGGCGCCGGCCTCGCCGCGGACTCCGACGACGACGACGCCGCCGCGTAAGGAGAGGGGCGCGAGCAGTTACGGGGGCGCAGGCGCGCCGCGGCCGCGTCGGGGGCGCCGCCCTAGAGGCGCTTGAGGCCCTTCTTCTTGTTTTCCTTCTGCTTCTTCTTCTCCTTCTCGACCTTGCGCTTCGCGGCGAGGTTGGCCTCCGCGTTCGCCTCGCCGGCCTCGTCGCCGTTCTTCTCCGTGAGCGTCGGGCCGGGCGACGCCGCGCCGCGCCTCGCCGCGTGGAGGTCCGTGTAGAGCCGCGCGCGCGCCGCGTACTCGTCGTAGGACGTCATGAAGAGCTTGCCCGCCTCGTCGTTGAGGCTCGACTCGGGGAAGGGCACGATGAGGAGGCAGCGGATGACCTGGAGCACGTGGCTCAGCGTCACGTCGCTGCTCCAGTCGCGCTTGAGCGTGTTGACGCAGATGTCGCCGTTCGCCGCGATGTTCGGGTGGAAGATCTTGGTCAAAAAGAAGCCCCGCGGCGGCGCCGACGGGAAGTCCGAGCCGAGCACGAGCTTCAGGCGGAACGTGCCGCCCTCGTAGGGCGTGCCCGTGGGGCCGCTCATTTCCGCGTGGATCTCCGTGAGCTGGTCCGCGTCCGTCTCGACGTACTTGACGCCCTCGGGCGGCGACGTCGCGAGCGCCTTGACCTCCTTGCCCATGCGCGCCGCGAGCTCGGACGTTACGTGGGAGGCCATGCTTGCCAGACTAAAAAAGAGTGGATCGATAAAGGGGCGTGGCGAGTCGGTTTCGCGAGAAAGAAGGAGCGGAAGCGAAAGCGGGACACAACATCCTCAATTAAGTCACACGCCTTGGTAAAGTCACGCGCACACGCTCGGAAATCGTCACGCGCAGCCGATGCCCCGCGCGCGATAAAATACCCCGCACGGCCGCGCGCCTGAATCAGTGCCGAGCGCCCGGAGCGGCACCACCCCGACGCCAACAAAGCCAAGCAACGGGACGCTGCAAGTTGCAGTTCAACAAAGCCCACGGATTTGCGTTGCAGGCCGAATCATCAACACGGTAAGCTGCCCGGGCTCGGCGTCGATAATAGCAAACGGTGGCCTGATCGGTGTGCGCATCGGTCGGCCCGGCCGCCTGCGGACCTAGAGCCACCCCCGGTGCCCGGGCGGCGCTTCCAGCGCCGGCCCGCATCTCCGTCCAGCCTTGCCGCAAGGCCTCACAACACCGGGCGCGGCGGCGACACCGCCGCGCCGCCGCGGCTGCGCGCACCCGCAGTCATGGGGCGCAAGGCCGAGTCGTTCCACGTCAAGGTCGCCGTGCGCGTGCGGCCGCTCCTGAAACACGACAAGGAGCAGCGCGAGGTCGTGTCCGTGAGCTCCGACGGCGGCGCGCCGTCCGTGACCGTCGTCGACCCCGACAAGGCGTTCCCCGGCAAGAAGCAGGAGATCGACTACCTCCGCGTGGACTACGTGCGGGAGCGCGCCTACGAGTTCGACCACGTCTACGGCCCCGGCGACGACACGGGCCGCGTCTTCCGCGAGGCCGTGCGGCCCATGGTCGACGTCGTCCTCGAGGGCGTGAACGTGACGATCTTCGCCTACGGCCAGACGGGCAGCGGCAAGACGCACACGATGCTCGGCCACCGCGGCGAGACGGGCGTCATGCGCCTGACCCTGGCGGAGATGTTCGGCAAGGCCAAGGGCGCCTGCCGCTTCTTGGTCTCGTTCGTCGAATTGTACAACGAGGAGATCCGCGACCTGCTGCTCGACGCGCCGATCCGCGCGCACGTCGACCACGGCGGCCAGGGCGGCCTGGACCTGCGCGAGGACCCCGTGCGCGGGCCCTGCATCGCCGGCGTCACGGAGGTCGCGGCCAACGAGGTCGACGAGGTCATGTCGCTTTTAGCCGCGGGCAACGGGCGGCGGACGCAGGAGTCCACGCGGGCCAACAGCGAGTCGTCGCGGTCCCACGCCGTGCTCCAGATCGCCATCGAGTCGAGCGACAAGGTGCCGAGCCGCAAGCGCGAGGGCCAGGTCGTCAAGGTGAAGCGAACCTCGAAGCTCTCGATGATCGACCTCGCGGGCTCGGAGCGCGCCGCGGAGACGCGGAACTCGGGCGCGCGGCTCCAGGAGGGCGCGCGCATCAACCGGAGCCTGTTGGCCCTGGGCAACGTCATCAACGCGCTGCGCAAGGCCAACGGCGGCGGGCCGTCGTACGTGAACTTTAGGGATTCGAAGCTCACGCGGCTGCTCAAGGACTCCCTCGGCGGCAACTGCCGCACGCTCATGCTCGCCCACGTCGGCCCGTCGTCGAGCTCCTTCGAGGAGACGCTCAACACGCTCAAGTACGCGCACCGCGCGCGCGCGATCAAGAACTCCGTGAAGGAGAACCTCCGGAAGATCGACAAGCCCAAGCACAAGGTCTTCAAGGCCGCCGCCGTGCACCCCGAGCCCGGCCCGGCGCCGAACCGGCCCGACCACGGGCGGTCGAAGACGAGCCTCCACGAGGCCGACGCCGCGGACCCGCGGCGCGTCCGGCGGCAAAAGTCGAAGGTCGGGAGGCCCGAGCGGTCCGTCCACGACGTCAAGGCCAAGCTGCGGGCTAGGCGCGAGCGGCGCCAGCGCCAGGTCCACCCCGTCAAGGAGACGCGCCTCATGCTCGACGGCCACGCGGTCGCGCCCGGCGCGTCGCCGTCGGGGCCCGGCGACGCGGCCGCGCACCGCGCGCGCCTCGTCGAGCAGCTCCACAAGACGCGCAAGGAGGTAGTGGGCCAGGTGCGCGCGGCCATCGAGCTCCGCAAGACCGTCGAGGCGCTCACGGCGGGCCGGAGCCGCACGAGCCTCTTCAAGACGCAGCGGCGGTCGCCCGCGCGGCGCGTGCCGCCGGACGGCGAGCCGTCGCCGACGCTGCCCAAGATCGAGACGGCGACGCCCGTCGCCGCCGCCGCCGAGGCCTACGCCGCGGCGACGAACCTGTCCAAGTCGTCCCACGAGCTCCTCCGGCGCGACCCCTTGGCGTTCCTGTCCGACGTGCTCCTCAACAACGGCGGCGCGGCGCCGCCGCCGCCCCAGGTCACGCCGACGTCGTCGTCCGCCGAGCCGTCGCCGGCGAAGCAGACCGCGGACCCGCGGGCCTTCGACGAGGCGACGTCGACGCGCGTCCGCGCGCGCGCCGCGCGCGAGTGCGAGGGCCTCCGCCGCGCGGTGAAGCGCAACCTCGACAAGCACCAGCTCGGGGCGCCCGCGGAGCCGAAGCCCGCGGAGAAGCACGCGAAGCTCGGGCTGCCCGGCGGGCCGAGCCACGCGACCGCGCTGCTCGACGCGGAGATGAAGATCGTCGGCCTCGAGCTCGAGAAGCTCGAGATCGCCGAGGCGGCGCACCAGCAGCCCGAGACGCAGACCGACGAGCGCGAGGTCCACGAGATGGCCCTGAAGAAGCTCGAGCTCCAGGTGCGCCTCCGGAACAACGTCATCCGGAAGCTGGTCAACGAGCTCGAGAAGCGCGGCTCGGGCGGCAAGCTCCGCAAGAGCCGCCTGAGCCACCCGAACATCTCGCCGTCGAAGCACCTCGTGCCCCCGGCGGGGGACAAGCCGCCGAGCCCGCGGCCCGCGTCCGCGCAGGACCTCACGCCGCGCGCGCCCGGCGGCGGCGGCGACGACAAGTCGGGCAACATCTTCGCGGAGCTCCTAGGCTCGCCGTCCTTCCTCGGGTCCCTGCCCAAGGCGGGGAACGTCGCGGACCTGAGCCTGCCGACGCTGCCCCACCGCCCCGCGGCCGAGCGCTCGGGCGGCAACGCGCCGAGCCGCTGGAGGAGGTGAGCGCCCGAGCGGCGGCCGCGAGCGCCGCCGCGAGATCCCGCGCGCAGCCCGACACAAGTTAACACGGGGCTCCCGGTATTTCTTCTGGGGCGGGGTGGGCTCAACGCTAGTGAATGGCATTGATATCGATTACGATTACCTCGCCGAGCGCCTGCGGGGACCTCGTCGTCCGACAAATGTTAAAAGCCTAACGCTCAGTTAGCGAGGCGACCGCGTCGTTTGCCTCCTCAACGCTCCTCCTCAAGGCCCTTTGAAAGGCACTAGTGCCCTTGGCGGCCGCGCGACGCACAGGCAGCGTGTCGAGTACTTCGATCGCATACTTGTCGCCCTTGGCCGCGGCCTTCGTGAACCAACGTTCGGCTTCCTCGAAGTCTTGTTCCACGCCTTCGCCCTCTAAGTAACGAATACCGAGGTTGTGCTCTGCAAGGGTTAAGCCAGCGTCTGCGGCGAGCCTGTAATGGTATACTGCCTCTTTCATATGGCCGCGATCCCTGAAAAAGTTTCCAAGATTGAAGTGGGCGTCACAGTGACCACGCTCCCCAGCCATTCGCCACAGGCTTATTGTCTTCTTCCTGTCCACCTTGACGCCTTCTCCACCAGACCAGCAAAGTGACCCAAGTTTCAACATCGCATCCGCGTTCCCGAGCTCCACAGCGCGCCGGTAAATCTTCGCTGCTTTTCTTTCGGATTTTGGAATACCGAAGTCCTCATCACCGTCGCGGTAGCAATCTCCCAAAAGCGAAATCGCTTCCGGTACCTCGTTCTCCACGTGGCGACGAATCAGAGCCAAATCTTCCGCTCCAGTTTCGGACATCGGGGTTCGACACAGCGGACACGGCTCGAAGCCGATGTGATTAGCACACGACATGCAGATCTTTCGGCAGCAGCAAATTCGAAGGACGTCTTTCTTATTCGCGTCCCAGTCCTCGCGGCAGATCGGGCAACACGGGCCGTGCCGCGCCGACAGCGGCTCGGGCGCCGGGTTCGCCTCGCGTCGCAGACGAGCGGCCTCGTGTTCCGCCGCGATGCGCGCGCGAATCTCGTCGGCTTGCGACCGCGGCGCGGGGCCGTAGAACACGTCCCGCGGCGGCGACGGCGGGGGCGTCGGCGCCTCCGCCCGCGCCGCCTCGGCCGCCCGCTCGTTTCGAATCTTTTTGCACGCCTTCCGGTGGCCGCGGTCGCGCCAGTCGATGCGTTGACATTCGGTCGAACAATACTGCGTCGTGCCACAAGGACAATTCAGCTTCGCCTTCTCCGAGCAGATGGAACAGGTCAGGCGGAGCTTCAAGGCTTTGGCTCGAGCTTTTTTGATTTCGTACTCGCGTTGCTTTTTACGCCATTCCGGCTCGTCCGGGGGGGGTCGTGAGTCCATGCTCTATCCTTCGACAGGTCTCGCGTTGTGACGTCGGGCGTTTGTTGTGCTCACGGCGACGGCGGCGGCGAGCGGCAGTCGCTCCTTCTCCTCTGGTCTTGAGGCGCTCTTCGCACTACTCGACTGTGGCAAAAAATCTGCGGCCGCGCGCTGCGCATATGCGGAGGTGGCAGGCTCGCCCGACGTTGTACGATGGCACATTTAACAAAACTGTCGCCGCCGAAATTCTGAAGCTCGACACATAATGTGCAGCTTCCTCTTCATCGCTATCCTCCACATCACGACCGCGCAGACGGCCCTCGGCCTGCGCAAAACCCCAATCATCCACCGCGAGAAGCGCCACACCTACGGCGCCGCCTGGCTCTCGACGATGGCCCGGCTCTTGCGCGTCGCGGAGAAGAGCGGCGATCCCGCGAAGCTGGTCTCGAACCTCGAGGCCGGCACGTACCAGTTCACGGGGAAGCTCCCCGGCTGCGGGCGCAAGAAGGATGGCTTCCCGCACGCGCGGGACGTGTTGGATTTCATGTCCGTGCACCTCGGCGCGCTGCACCGGCTCGCGCCGAAGGCGACGGCGGCGCACGCGTCCGCCGTCGACGGTCTCGCGGCGTTCTTCGAGGACCGCGCGGCCCGCGAGGCAATGCGGCGGACGGCCGAGGATGCCCGGAGCCACGCGGCGAGCCTCGGTCTGGTGAGCCTCTGTTTCGACTGCTCGCGCGCCGGCCATCGGCGGAGCACGGAGGGGAAACGGCTGGAGCTCGCGTACGCGCGCGCGACGGCCGCGAGCCTCCGGGCGACGTGCGGCGCCGTCGTCGCGGGCGTCATGCGCGACGTCGCGGCCAACGAGACGGCCTGGGCGCGGGCGGCGGGCTTCGACGGCGTCTTCGTCGTCGACCACCGCGACCGGCGAAAACCGGGGAACGCGTCGCGGCGCGGCTTCCACCCGCCCGACGCCATGCACCCCGTGCAGACGTGGCTCCGCTTCGCGACGACCGTCCGCGACCTCCGGGCAAAGGGCCAGAGCGACGCCGCGGCCGTCCGGTGGTTCCGCGAGCCGCCGCGAGATCGCGTCTTCGACTTCGTGGCCTGGAGCGAGCAGGACCAGGCGCTCGTCCAGCGCGCGTCGAACGCGGCGTTGATCGCCGCCGTCGACGATTTTTGCAATTATACGCTCGGCGCCGCGATCCCCTACCGCGGCGTCGCGTACCCGGAGAGCCCCGCGCGCCGCAACCGCCGCGTGCCGCCGGGCCTGTCGCCCCTGCGGCCGGACCAGACCTTCGCGACGGGCGCGGACCTCCTGGAGAACGTGTCCTGCTGCCTGCCGGGCAAGCGGTCCAAGTTCGAGCGCTCGTTCGTCCCGGGCTACGCGGCGCGCCGCGCGTCGAACGCGCCCGCGGGCGGCCTCCGCGGCGCGGGCGGCGCGGGCGTCGACGTCATCCTCGCCGCCGACGTGCAGATCCGCGCCGCCGGCCTCCCCGCCGCCGTCTGCGTGCCGCGGCGCCGCCGCGGCGCCGCGCGCCCGGGGCTCTTCGACGACTGCGCCTATGCGGACGCGCCGGAGAACGCCACCGAGGCGCGCTACGGCCGCGGCCACCGCGGCCCGCGGAAGAAGCAGAAGCAGGCCGCTGCGACGCGCGGGGCGCCCGCGCCGCCCGCCGCGGCTCATCTGCGGGCGCGGGCCGATGCGACGCGCGGGGCGCCCGCGCCGCCCGCCGCGGAGCCGCGTGCGGAGCCCGAGCCGCGCGTCGCTCGCCCACCGCCTCGCTCGCCCCTCGGCTCTCTCGTCAACCGAGTCGTCGACGCGATGGTTGCATAGCGTCTATTTACATCCCGCATTAGTATATGGCGGCGCGGCGGGGCGAGTCCGTCCCGGCCGCGCGGCCGCGGGGAAATCGGGCGCGTTTGTCGGGAAGAGGGTTCGTTCGCGAACGCGCGTCGCGTGTGTGGGGGCGACTTGGTCGGGAAGAGAGATCGACGGACGCGCGTTCTAGATCTTGCTTCGCGCTTGTGGGGGCGGGAAAAACGATTCGTTCGCGAACGCGCGTCGACGGCTAGAGTCCCGCGAACGGGTCATCGGTCTCCTCCGTCGGGATCACTTGCGTCTTCTTCGGCGAAGCCATGGCGGCCATCGACCCCTCCTTGGGCGCGGCTTGGGGACTGCTCGGCGTCACCCTTCGCACTTGCGCGAGGAGCGTCGCTTCGTTGATTATTGGGGACG